GGAAATATGATCTACCTTAACATATCCTGTCCTCAGACGCTTGGCTCCAGTCGCCGTTCACTGGGTACTCCGTTCTTGGCGTTGTTCCTCAGCGTTCCATAAGCCTCACCAGTCCGCAGGCGTCGTGAAGATCATCATCATCTTCTTACGGGCTATTCATCCCCGTGCCACCTCTTGGGTGGCTTAATCTTTATAAATTAATCAATCATCATCTTGGTGCTCATTCCCTGAGTGAAGTTCCTGGACCCTGGCTCGTCCAGTCACTGCACACGTCGCCCCCTCAAGCACTCCTTCACCGAGACCCCACTTAAGGATCAGGATGCATCTTCTCCCTCCTGAGTGCCTAGTGGACGTGACCACCACAGCTCTTAATGCTTTAGAGTTCCACTGACGGCTGGTCACTCACTCCTCCAGCCCTCGTAACTCTCCACTTCTCCAAGACTATTTGCACACGGTCCTCGGCGCCCTTACACCGCTGGATTAGGCTTCCTCGCACTTCCCTGAAGTACTGCAGTCCTTGTTAGTCACTATACATTCGTCAGGCTGTGTATATCCACTTAAGGAGGCTCTTTGACCTCGGAGAGCTCAATGAGAGCTCAATCGGCGCACGCCCGCGCTCAACGAAGCGCCAAGTATCACTGAGGGCCTAGAGCGCCAGGCGGCGAGCCAGGTCTCTCGGTGACGTCACAGACCCAGGGGCGGGCTCTGATTGGTCAACGAGGCGCCCTACACAAAATGGTGGTTTTGCAGGCCAGAGGGCGCCATTTTGTTGTACCCAGGGCGCGACTTTTCCACTTCCCTGCAACTTTACAAATGCAAATTCCTTCCCAAATAAGCAACCATTCTGGAAGCCTCATACCTCAAAAAGATTCCCTGCACCTCAGAGAACCTACAGACAAGCTGATATGACTAACAGCTGGCATATGGGAGAAACTGGAGAGGGCACCGTCACAATACCTAGCTACATCACTGGCCCAAAATGCCAAAACCAACGTCATGTGACATTAAGTCAAGCCATTAAGTTTCCCTTAACATTTCTTCTCTTGGGTGAGTGGATGGGGGAATAAAGCTTGCCACTAGGGACCTGGAGTGTCGTTAGGGCAAGTTTTGCCCTAATTTCTTTCCGCTCGAAATCCATGTTGGCCTGGGTTGTGAAGGTCTCCATGAAATTGGTGACCTGACTCCTAATCACTCACTCAAAGCTGTGACAAAAATTGGTTAACATTTCGAGAGTCTTAAGTGTCAATTAACAATGGCTGAAAATTAACTGAACAATTAACTGAAAATATAAAAACGGAAACCACGTACAAAACTCAGGCAAATCATAACATAGAACGAAAAGGCAATGTAAAGGATCTGGGTGTACTCATGTCGGAAGACCTTACCTTTAAAGAACACAATAAAGTAGCCGTCACAACTGCAAGAAAAATGACAGGTTGGATAACAAGAACTTTTCACACTAGAGATGCTATACCGATGATGATACTTTTCAAAACGCTTGTGCTCTCTAGAGTGGAGTACTGCTGCACAATGACAGCCCCTTTCAAAGCTGGAGAAATTGCTGACCTGGAGAGCGTGCAGAGATCCTTTACTGCTAGAATCCACTCAGTAAAACATCTAAACTATTGGGACCGACTAAAGAGCCTAAATCTGTACTCCCTTGAGCGCAGGCGGGAGAGGTACATAATAATTTACACGTGGAAAATATTAGAGGGGCTGGTCCCAAACCTGCACACAGAAATAACATCACATGAGACCAGAAGACATGGCAGGATATGCAGAATACCCCCGTTGAAAAGCAGAGGTGCAACAGGTACTCTGAGAGAGAATTCTATCAACATCAGAGGCCCGAGACTGTTCAACACGCTTCCACTACACATAAGGGGCATAACTGGCCGACCCCTCACAGTGTTCAAGAGAGAACTATCAACATCAGAGGCCCGAGACTGTTCAACACGCTTCCGCTACACATAAGGGGCATAACTGGCCGGCCCCTCACAGTGTTCAAGAGAGAACTGGATAAGCACCTCCAAAGGGTACCTGATCAACCAGGTTGTGACTCATACGTCAGGCTGCGAGCAGCCTGGTTGATCAGTCCGGCAACCAGGAGACCTGGTCGACGACCGGGCCGCGAGGACGCTAATCACCGGAAGCACCTCAAGGTAACCTCAAGGTAAAGTGGCCAACAGCCACTCCTTCACTTCCCCAAATACGAACGAGTCTCTAATGAACCAATAATGATCCCCAACTTTGACGTTTGAAGTTGTAAATTTCAAAATTATTTCACAAACTAAATACAACATTCTATTGTAACTGTTGCAACATAACAACAGGAACAACAGAGCAACATTTACATAGACTCGGCAGTGAAGTTATAATCGTCCGTCAGTCAAGAACTGCTAATGGCCGCTCAACAACTACAATAGACAGGCTCACCATAGCCCGTGCTACTTGGAACTTGTTCAGAGTAGCTGAATCTATAACAACAACTACAATATATAATATATACAATAACAGACTTAAGAAACCCAACAACCCAAAGTTCCTGACACAACACTGGATGATGTTAAATATTTAATTTCAATTGACTTAAGATATTGCTTTTAATGAATTTATTTATATATATATAAGAAGGTACATTAGGGTAGGTACGAAGGTACATTTGAGGCTGGTATTTTCTGCCTTGATTCCACGTATGACTAACCATCCTGTGAGGTGGGAATATTAGATGAACTTATAGCTAGTTTTTGATCTACACTTTGTAATCTTTCATATAGAATCATACAAGCCAAATATATGCTATGTGCAATTATAAGATTCAGGCTTATAAGACTGTATATAAATTAGTATGAATAAATTCATGATGTGCGTATATTTATACACATTTTGAATTTTGTAACTAGCTCATCAAGATTGTAACTTGCTAAATGAATTGTGGGGTTCAGTCCCTGAGCCCATTATGTGCCTCTGTAACACTTTCCACTACCGCCCACAAGATGGGTATGGGGTGCATAATAAATGAACTAAACTAAACTACGTTCCATGATTTGTTTAGCCTACAACATGGCCAAAGTATTATGACCTTTGTCCTGACGACAATAACCGCCCTGATGATGTACACAGACAAAGTTAACTCCGGGTTACTCTTAACCTCCGCTCGGACTGGAACAAGTGTAGTTGCAGCTCCTTCTCCGGAGGGGCTGTTGCTTTATCCTGCTTTGGCGAGACTCCAGTTTGGGTGTCCCAAAACAACCTGTTGAATGCCAGGATTGGCACTATTGTTCTTTTACACCATGTTGCAACTGGAGATCATCACCTCAACTGCCGTGAGGATATTAAATATATCCTCAAGGCTCACGGATTCTGTCCTTCAGATGACTCCTTCACTCCTACCCCCTCGTTGTCATCGTCTTAAGTCCTTCTCATATTAAGATTACTTTTGATGGTAGAACCTGTCTTCTGTCATTCTTTCCAGGGCCAGATGTTCTGTTCCGGAGTGCTTCCCATCTCCACACCTCTGCAATAGATGTTGGAAATTTCGACGTGGTCTCTTTAAAGTGCACTAATGAGATGTCGCTTTGCCCCTTAGAATGACCCTGGTCATTCTAAGACAGAATACTGTTCTCCCCCAAGCTTGCTGTATGAACTATGGTGAGGCCCTCCAGGCCTCACCACTGGCCTGAGGAAAGGGGCCTGACGGCCGAGTGGGCAGCGCTCGGGATTTAGTCCTAAGGTTCAGAGTTCGATCCCCGGCAGAGGCGGAAACAAATGGACAGTTTCTTTCACCCCTGGTAGAAAGGAACAGCTGTCATGGGCCGCTTCCTGGAGATGTGTAACAAAAAGGAGGCCCGGTCGATGACCGGGTTGCGGGAACGCTAAGCCCCGAAATCATCTCTAACCTCAAGATAGAGGGAAAGCCCATCCTGTCTTCTTCTGCACATGCATGCACTATAAATTTGAACAATTCATCCTCTTGTCCTCACAGGTGCATTGAATCTCAACTGGGACTCGCTATAGGATTACCATGCTGGCCATAATACTCCTCATTTGCAGCATAAGGGGGCGAGAGTTTGGCAGGATCTGGATGTGACTTTAGTGCATTCGTCACTTGCAGAATTTTGTACATTGCCTTGATCGGTGGATCAGTTTCCTCCATTTCACCATGAAACTGGACTCTGCAGATAACCTTGACCGTTTTCTTGTGATTTAGTCTCCCACGTTCACTCTCAGGGTGCATCAAACATTGTCACAGGCATTTTCTCTCACTTTTCACCCGGCTCAATAGCAGTTGTGGCGTTAGTACCGGCACTTACGGTGTTTGGTCTTTGCTTCTGCTCTTCGCACAAATGTTATACTGTATATTTTATTTGGGGGGACCATTTTCTTCATTAGTAGCATTCTCCTTATTGGCTATGACTGAGATGTCACCTTTTTTAGAGGTTCGTTGTCAGTGGTGCTTCATTTGTCCAGCTGAGGATGTCACATGCTCTTTAGTCTGCAGCTCCAAATTCCTTCCTTTCCCAGGGGTTTTATCTTGGGTGACTCATGAGTGAAGTAGTCTCACTGGAACTGTGGGTGATCTGGCCTACCACCTGGTGCCTGTTGGGTGCATCAGTAAGCATGGGAAGAGGGTGGTCCAAGGCAGAGTTACCCAATAAGCTTGGGAAGCTACTAGAGGCTGACCAAAAAATGGGAGGTATTAAATTACATTCAATTCTTTAATTTTGTTTTAAATAGGTGATGTTTGCACATTTAATCTTTACAATCCAAAATTGTCCTCAACCCCTAAAGGGTGCAATACATATATATAAATATGATTTGAGTAAATGTTGCTGAACAGCACACATCTATATACATGATTGAGAGTACTGTGCAAGATTTAAGCCAGGTCATGTCAAATGTAAGGAAACCATTTGCCACAAATAAATTGACTTCAATGAAAGCAGGGTTAAAAGAAGTATACTGTACTGTACTTTTTTTCATAGATGAGAAAAACATACTTCTAAATAATATTTTTATTGGTGTATTACACCTAAAAAAAGTGTACATAGCTACAACATTTAACACTTCCATAAAGAAAAATTAAATAAAATACTAGCTACTAGCATTTTACATTCAATGCATTGTGTACAGAAACTGAAGTAAACCTAAATCTTATGGAGCATAATGAGTCAATGTACAGCTTCTTATACTGTGCCACACCACCATCAACACTTCACTAGTCGGGAAAATGTACACATCTAGTGGCTAACAGCTAAGTTATTTCTGTGTAACATCCAAAATATGAGACATCCAGGGCTTCTCAAAGTGGTGTCAAGAGGTATCCATGGGTATGCACAGAAGGCTACACCACTCAAGGTACAAGTGATGTACTGGGACGCGGGCTCATCTTCCCAAGACGTACAGCGGTTGTCAAACATTCACAATGCTTACTACACTCACTGACTCTCAACACATTTATCTGTAAACTTACCAAGTGTATATTGTATACGTTGTGACATGTTCTTACAATGAGTGTACAGAATGTAGCAAGATTCCTGTGAGTATCGGCACACCTAAGTGCATCTCACGAACACAGCCCACTGGCTTGATTGGCATCTCTCACCAACAAAGTTCTTCATTATTTCCCACAATATTTCTAAATAAATAAATTTTAAAATTTACCTCCGACTTGTTTTAAATCAGGTAAAGATCAACAGAGTACGTTTCTAAACAAATTAGTTTTTGTAATGGACTGACTGACTAAATCTGTATTGATCAATTAGGAAAAGTAAGTAAATATCAAATTCGTGGAAATAGTAAAGAAAAAAACCAGAGGTTATCCTTCCAAAATGCCAATGTGCCTGTGACAATGCAGGAGTTTCAACGAAGATCTCATGCTGGGTCAAAATGACAAACCATGCAAAATGTAGGCACAGTAGACTCCATACCAAGATTCTCAAATCCTCCACTAATCTTCTCAAGTGAAATAAGGAGGATCGTATCACTGTACAAATCTTAATTTATCTTACACAGAATCAAAAAATAAAATGTTTCTCGTTCTATGGTGGCATTTAAATACCCAGGTGTTGTTGGTAAGGCATGATGCAGCAGAGCCTCTGTGTTGCTGACCCCTTTTTCAAACATCACTAGGTAGCATGAGGCAAATGTCCTAGTCATAGCAACACCTGACTTTACACAGCTAACCTATCAGATGGAGGGGTTGGTAGTAGTGGTGGTGGGTTGTGGGGGGGTCAGGTAAGTGGCAAGTAAAACATAACCAGCCACCAAGTCATTGGTGCAATGTGGCAAAGAAGCAGTGTTAGGATTTATTACATGGAACACCTTCTGTAACATTTCTTGCTTACTTTCAATGTAGTCTGAAGGTTGTTTTCAGAGCTAAATCTGACAGGCACCAGGGGGGATGAATTATTCTTTGCAAGAGTAAAGAGCTATATTCTAAATGCCCTGTCCATGGTACCTTGCCACTGCATCCATGAAACAAGGATTTAGAATTCGTCTTGTAACAGAGGTAACTGAAAAGATTGAGCATTAAGCAGGAGTGTTACAGTGTTCTTGGATTAACAATGAAGATGAACACAGTCCAAGTATCATCACATTGCCAAAAAATTTTATCATTGGTTTAGACAAGTTTAAGATCCAGATTTATATTCATTAGTTTCTTATTTATTTCCAGATTAAAAGTACAGTACATGCCTTCTGATAAGGAACATAACATTAAACATAAATGCTATGAATCTGAACCTTTGCTTTCTTACTGTTGTGCAGTATGGATTGATCAGAATGTACAGTGTAAATGAAAACTTTCAATTAAAAACAACTTAAAAAAAAAGAAAGACATGTCTTGACGACATATGTAGACTCAAATGGAATGAACCCCAGAAGAATAAATTTTGGTGTAAATGAAATGACAGATTTTTAAGGTGTTATGTAACAACCAAGGACAACTTTGTGCAGTTTAACTTTGTTCAAATAACATGGTACTGAGGAGCTAATGCTACTTTCCTCACCCTTTAAGAGATAATTTATAATTTGGAAAATAAAAGTAACAAAAATTCAATACTCGACAACTGGATGCGCTTCTTGGTGTTGGGATGAAATCCCCAGTTGTGAATTGTACAGTACCTTTGTATTTGACTGAAACTGCATAGAGCATATGCTCCAGCAGAGACAAATGTTAAATGCTAAACTCACAAATCTTGTGTATGTTAAATAACAGTGATAATGTCCAGCCTGACCTACACTGTCCACTAACAAAGCTTGCTAAGTGTGTACAAAGGAAAGGCTGCAGCACCACATTTATTTAATGTCACTAGTCACTTTGGAGATCTGTGCGTGATGATAAGGAGTTTGTGGTGTAATCACACTGACTAACCACATTTCCAGTTACAGTAAAACCACCAAGTAACGTGTATTTTTGTAAACACAAATAAAATCCAAGAGCTAAATAGCCTCATCACATTTGTTGTAGCCTATCATTATTTTTCCATTGCCTGTATACACACAGCAGCACTTTATAAATACGAAGTTTTAAATATATATTTATATTAACTTGGTTCCAGTAGTGCAAAATTATCGTTCCATTCCAAACTGGCGTTGCTAGATATAAAAGAACCCATTTACAAATTTGTCATCTTAGGTAGGTACCCCACTCATTGACTTCCACACCACATGTTACCACCATGTTCCATTATCTTTCATTCACTGTTCAATAATTCAAAGAGCATTATCATTTGCAAATCATATCATTAGCTACTGGTTCGTGCCTTCTTTGAGCCATTTCCTACATTATCCTTGTTTGAGCGTTTCTTGGATTCTGGTGCCGGTTTCTTGGTAGGCGATTCGTCTAAGCTGATCACCTCCACGCTATTACCACTCCGCCGTGTAGGCCGGGATCCCACTTTTGTGATGGTAATCTCCTTGCTAACAGTTGGCTGCAAAAATTATGAAATGTTTAATGCTATTTTACTGAAGAAAAAAATTTACTACATTCCTAAGTTGTGTACCTAACAAATCAATATATTTCCATAAATGTAATTATATATTATTTCATTTTTGGGTTCAAATACAATGTTCCCAACATGAAACCCATTCCAAATATTATTCACAGTGATACACAACATGTGCATATCCACATTAATGATTTAATACAGTATAATTTATCATCAGGGCTCTTATTATTATTGTGGTGTCCAATTGTTTTGAAGCCAGTGTTCTTTTAAAAATCTAGACATTCAAAGTCAATAAATATTTTGTGTTGTAATTTTGAGTGATATTATCAACACTTTATATACCCATGTAAAAGTGTCATCCACTTGAGCAGTTTAACCATGTTTCCACTTACCATGTTTTCAACAGAGAGTAAACTTAGAAGGTTCATAAAGAAGGTTTCTAATTCTTAAGCTTAATATATTCATCCTTCTTTATATACTCTCCAAAGTTTATATCTATTCTATGAAATGGTGCCCAAACCTCAACTGCATAATCCAAGACAGATGTCATAAAGGTAAGATAAAGAAAGTTGAAGATTTTTTCATTAGGATTTTCATGAAGATTTGAACATTAGGATTCTTAATAAGCATTTTTCTAGATATAGGACAAAAGAACATGGAAACTGCATTGGAAAGGACCCAAAAAACCCCTCTAATGGGTCGTGTGTGCTTTCCCAGAGGTTATGGATCCCCTTCTTCCTGCCAGAAGTATATGTATATCCCCCTATATACATAAATTATTAAAAATATATAATACACATTTTTCCTCCATCCCAGCTTAGTCACAGTGGAATTCACATCCATCACAATAAGCAGCCTACTATTATCAATGAAGCCATTTGGCACCATCGAAAAGCCATTCTTGCAGTTAGTCAAAATACAATTCATGGGTGTATTCTTCTATAGTTGCATCTTCTAGTTCAGCACATGCATCAATGTACAATATGTTACAAGATAGAAGATATACTGTAGACATGCGATTATCCAGAAATCGAATATCCGGAAAATGCCCTTAAACGGCCAAAATCGTGACCGGATAAAGTTCTCAATATCCGGCCAAAATGTCCATAGGAGCCGGAAAATCGGGTGTTTGACCGGATAAAAAATCTGGGCCGGTTAACTTGCTGCCGATGTTGCACTATCTGGACAGTCAGCTGAACAAGCAGTGAATTAATTGTCTGGATATGAAAGCCAGGCAGAGGGCCGTACCGTATTAATCCCGTACAGTGTGGCTCTAGGCACATGGTGGAGGAGGGGGTGGGGTGGGTGGGTGGTGTCGGGAGAGAGAGGGGAGCGTTGGGAGGGACCACCTGGGGGGATAACGGAGATGTGGAGGGGCCTATACACTACAGTACAGGAATTACAATTAATTTTAGAACAATTCATCATAGCCAAAAACAATACTAGTAATTATGTAATAATAAATATATAAGTTTCCTAAAAACAATTTGCACAGGCTGAAGTTTCCTTAAAAAATATTGAATTTTTTTCCTCCTGGCAGCCTATGTAACGTGCCTCCTCCCTGCCCCAAGTGGACCCGTCCAGGCCTGGTCAAGTCATGTGCTCTCGTCCCTCGTGTTATACCACAATGCCGCGCCAATAGTGAAATATTTTTTAAATATCTTTTTTATTTTCACAGTAACTTTGAATATTTTTGGCCAAGACTGTCTGGTAGCAGCATCAATTCTGGAGGTGTTAAGAGAAAGAAGGTTGTCTTAACAATTAAAGACAAGTTACATGTTGTACAACCTTGTGAAAATGGCAGGTCGACTTCAAGTGTTGCCAAGGAATATAATATAGGCACTAGTACTGTTTCTGATATAAGGAAACAAAAAGAGAAATATCTGAAATACATTTCAACCAGTGATAGTGAAGGTGCAAGCACCAGCAGAGGGTGTGGTAGAAAAACTTTGAAGCGTCACCAGTGAGGCGCCACAGGCAAGCCAAGCGCCTTCAACCAGTGAGGCTTCAGCAGCTGGCAATCAAAACTAACTTTGCTTAATGAACTGTACAGTAATTTTAAGTGTTAATTTTAGTGTTGTGTTAGTATAGGTTACGTAAATTGTCAAGAATTCTTAACTTCAAGATGTGTGGCATCAATCAAGAAGAAGAACAACAACATGGCAAGTTGAGGTTTCTAGTTGAATATTTAATAATTATATGTGGCAAGGCAATTCAAATTAAGTTCTTTGTAGTATAAAAATAGTTGGAAATGGTCACTTTTGGACACGAGGTGAAAAAGTACTATTATCCGGTACATGTGATTATCCGGCTGGGGTTCCTTCCCATATAGTCCGGATAATCGAGTGGAGACAGTACATCACTTTCATATATAGTACAATACAGTATACAACAAATTTAAAATAATATGAACAAAAACCATTGTACAGGTGTGTGAACATTTAAGATTTTGAAGTTTCCTTTAAATAAATTTGGGATACAAGGACCAATGAGGTGGTATTTTAACTCTAATTGCAAAATCAAGATACTAGATCACATCCACATGTTATGATCTTGTACCAGGATGCTCACCTGTCATGGTAAACGCGACCCAAGCTTTACACTCACCGTGCCTTCTGACTTCTTCCCCGAAGACATGGACTTATCCGACTTTTGAGTTTTGACTGCTGGTTGGGGTATGATGGTGATCTCATCATTAATCTTAAGAGGAGAGTCTGAGGACCCAGAACCTGCAGGAAAAACAAACATGAACTTCTCCCTCTGCTCCTCAATGATCCTTTTTTGACCAAAATGCTGTTGGGTAGTAGATGACAAGAGTGAGCACCAATGAAAGTTGTCTCATTTCAGAGCAAAAGCTTTAACCCTTAAACTGCGCAACACGTCATATGGCGTGTTGAGTAACTTGCCCAAAATTGCACACACCATGTCATATGACGTGTTGGAGTACTACGCAAAATTTAAACAGCTCGCGGATACACGGGGTTCACCTCACCTTCATCAGGGCTCTTGTAAACAGACGCCATTTTAACAAAAAAACCTGGGCAACATTCCTGGGTGTTAGGGCCTCAGTACTGAGTGAGCCACCAAGGCTGGTGCACGCAGTATGAGCTCACAGCACTGCTGTTCAGCTACACAGCATCGCCTAAAAATGACAAAATATATATGTACATGCTATTATTTAGCGATGATAGTATTACAGAAGACCCCTGACTGTGATAAAAAATGTCCAGGATTTTGATAATAGCAGGATTGTTGTGATAATTAGCGCTGTAGTGGGAGGAGTAATCTTGGTGGGAAGGAAGGTAGCATTATCTGCTGACTCTCTGTGACCACCTTTTACTGTCAGGACTCCCTATACCAGCTTAGTGGTTCGCTATGGTGAACGAAACGTGCAGATACAGGCATACCTCAGAATACGATTTTAATCCGTTCCTGGAGACGCCTCGCCTTCCGAAAACTCGCATTCCGAAGTTAATTTCCCCATAAGAAATAAAGGGAAATGAATTAATCCGTTCCTGACTACCCCAAAAACCCCACATCAAACTAAATTTTTATACCTAATTCATCTAAATAAACCTACAAAAGTATGTTCCAGTTATTACTTACCTTACTGTCGAGTGCTGTAGGCGTATGGAAGATGGTGAGGAGGGGGGAGGAGGAGAGGAGTTAGTGTTTGGAAGGGGAGTCCCCTTCCATAATCACATCAGGCAGTGAGGACCTTTCTGGTGTGCTCTCCCTGGGACGTTTAACCTGAGTGCCACTAGGTCCTGGTTGAGGTTCACTGCTCGATTTCTTCACCAAATATTTGTCCATGAAAGCTTGCTTTTCCCTTCTTCGCAAGCTCTCTCTGTAGTAAGGCATCACAGTGTCATTGAAAAGATTAAGACAACGGCCTACTACAGTTTTGTCTGGGTGAGTGTGTTCAATAGTTGTTTGAATCTCTTCCCACATCTGACACACCTTCTTCATTACTGCAGAAGGGACATTCGCTGGTGCTGTTGCCACCACCTCCTCCTCCACTGCAGAATCATTCGCTGCTGTGTTGGCTTCCTGTTCCTGTTGAAGGGCTAGGAGTTCTTCGGTGGTCAGTTCTTCGTTGTGTTCTTCCACCAACTCCTCCACATCATCACCATCCAATTCCAAGCCCATTTTCTGGCCTAGACTAACAATTTCCGCAACAATAGGCGCATCATTTATAGGCTCAAACCCCTCAAAGTCTAGTTCTCTCACACCTTCAGGCCACAATTTTCTCCAGCCAGAGATCAGGGTTCTTTGAGTCACTTCTTGCCAGGCTTTGTCAACGAGTTTTAAAGCACTAAAAATGTTAAAATGCTCTCTCCAGAACTCTTTGAGGGTGAGGTTTGTGGCTTCAGTCACTTCAAAACATTTCCGGAAAAGTGCCCTTTCATACAGTTTCTTAAAATTCGCTATGATTTTCTGGTCCATAGGCTGAATTAGAGGAGTGGTGTTAGGAGGAAGGAATTTAACTGTGAGGAATTTATTGCATTGAGGCATCAAATCATCTTCCAAGCCTGGAGGATGAGCAGGAGCATTGTCAAGGAGAAGCACGGCTCTGAGTGGCAATTGTTTCTCCTGCAGATATTTTTCTATGGCAGGGCACAGCACTTCATTCACCCACTCCGAAAAAATAAGCCTAGTCACCCATGCTTTTTTATTAGACTTCCACATCACAGACAAACGGGTTTTCTGCACATTATACTGTTTGAAAACCCTTGGATTTTCAGAATGATACACTAGCAAGGGTTTAATTTTTAAATCGCCACTCGCATTTGAACACAGCACAAGCGTAAACCTATCTTTCATAGGCTTGTGTCCAGGCAAGGATTTTTCCTCCTTGGTAATGTATGTCCTCTTAGGCATTCTTTTCCAAAACAGTCCTGTTTCGTCACAATTAAACACTTGTTGCGGTAGGTATCCCTCAGCCTCTGCAAACTCTTTAAATTCGTCAATAAATCGTCCAGCGGCTGGTTTGTCTGAGCTGGCTGCCTCCCCATGCCTTGTAACACTATGGATACCACTTCTCTTTCTAAATTTTTCAAACCAGCCCCTGCTTGCCTTAAACTCTTTCTTTTCTGCATCACTCGTTGCAGGGGTCTTCTTTAGAAGGTCTTCGTGCAACACCCTGGCTTTCTCAGAAATAATGGCCTCCGAAACACTATCACCCCTCAACTCCTTGTCGTGTATCCAAATTAATAACTTTTCCACTTCTTCAAGTATTTGTGGTCTTTGTGTCGTTAATGTTCTTACTCCTTTTGCCACATTAGCACTCATAATCTTATCTTTCTTCTTAAGTATAGTGCATATTGTTGATGTCGCTTTGTTGTACTGCCTACAAAGATCAACAACACGTGTACCGTTCTCATGCTTTCGAATGATCTCTTGTTTCTGTTCTATTGTCATCCTCACATGAGCTTTCTGGCCTTTATCCTTACCACTGGCTTTCTTGGGACTCATGGTGAGATATATAATAACAAATTGTATAGACAAATCACCAAAAATCCAACAAAACACTGAAAATTCACGACAAGAATTGATGTGGGGGTAGTCACTGCGCGCGAGACAATGGTGAACTGAGGGGCAGCGGGGCAGAGGGGCGACGATCGCCGAACGACCACGCGCTAGGTCGGCTGTACGCGTATCAACAAACTCGCGTTCAAACTCGACTCCCGAAGTAACCATCGCCTTCCGAGACAAATTTTTGGAGTAAATACACCTCGCCTTCCGAAAATCTCGCATACAGGGACAATCGCATTCCGAGGTACCACTGTACTTATATATAACGTGTCTATATAGTGAATAAAAGCAAAAAACAGTATGGAGGGAAGAGAATGTTGGCAAGTCAGGTGAGGGGGTGAGGGAGGGAGGGAGGGAGTGGCATCCAGTGGCGGGCTAGCTGGTGTGTGGTGGTCACTCCTTCCTGCTGTTTGAGTCAGCATACCAACATAATGGTTCCTTATGGTGAACACAAATGTAGATACTTGTATATAACGTCTGTATATAGCGAATAGAAGCAAAAACAGTATGGTGGGAGGAGGAATTTGGCAAGTGAGGAGTTTTTGAGGGAGGGAGTGGCAGCGAGAGGCTGGCTGGCAGATGTGGCCACTCCTCGTTGCTTTTTGACTCGCATTATCAACTTAGTTGTTCGTTATGGTGAACAAAACATGCAGATACTTATATACAACCTGTGTATATATAGTGTAATAACCGACAAAGTATTTGTTCACTGTTTTATGAACATAATAATTGAATCAATAATATGCACGCCATAATTTTGAGTACAGGGATGATTCACACATTTTATTATATAAATATATCACACTACACACTATTGAATAATATTACAGCAAAAAAAAAAAAAAATGAAGAAAAAATCAATCAGAGACATTGAAATAATTAGGTAATTATATCTTTGTGGCAAACCCCCCCACCTGACAGCTTCGGCAAAGCAGAACTTCCCCGACACTTGCCAAGTCAGCGCCTCTTTTTTCCAGACTTTTCCGACCTATTGCGGCCAAAATATGCCACTTACGATTTTTGTATTATTTTTCCCGTGATCAGGGAACACAAATTACCAGGTTAAGAAGAAAAAGTAATTTTTTCTTTGTTATGCACCTGTGGGTGACAAAGGCCAAATAGCCCTTAGCAACTCAAGGGTTAAGGATTGCTTAAAAAGGCAAATGGGAACCATCATAGCCCCTAAGTGCAATGTGCCCACCAGAGCATAAACATCCCATTTAAAAGTGCAAAGCATAACTTAAAAGCTAAACATGTGTAGTGGAACCTCATTCGAGAGGAGTAATTTTGACTTGATTATATGCTCTGGTTCTCTGTGTCTTTTGGATTTTGTTTTTTTTTCCAGTTTACTGCCAGTGTTTTTTCTGATCCCAAATTCTAGAATACCTCTTTGTGCATAAAAAGACCCAGCGTTGAATGTAAAGAAATGCCATTTTCTGGATGAGTCCCGGAGGCTCCCCAGAGCTATCTGAGCTGATATGAATGTATTAGACCCCTGACATCAGTCAACGTGCATGGAGTTCTAGGCCTACCAGGGACCATGAGCCAGAACCTAGTCCCCCTCAGAAAGGCACGAGGAGCAATGGCCCATAGAATCCTCCGTGTAGTTGGAAGCATTCTATGTATGCCATCAACCGGGTTAGGCACCCAGGTTAGGCACCCAGGTAGGTTATCCTAATTAAAATATTGCTACAGAAAGCCGAACTAGTGGACAGAACTCTTCAAATGAAAACGAGCAAACGAGCATGACGTCACCACGTCACCGCACCACCATCTGCAACACCCCTTACTCCCCTGGAGGGGAAAGGGAAGCCCGAAACCCCCCGCACCAGCTACCCCACACTCCAGTTCTGAGGCAGGCTGTCAAAACACGCGAAAAAAAAACGCTGACCGGAGAGGGTTGCCGGGAGTCTCCGGGACTTACCCCGAAAATGGCATTTAATTACATTCAAACCTGATTTTCTGGGTGGAGCCCTGTCAGCTTCCCGTAGCTACTTACCCAAAGACAAAACAAGAGGGATTTACCTGGGAGGCGGTCGGCCCTCGCTCCTTATCTAAGGGTGGATAGCCAGCGTGAAGGGTCTAAGGCTCCCCCTTCCCATTCCCGTGGAGGGGGGAGCTGCACAGTGGTGCGGCGACATGTGACGTTATGCTCGTTTGCTCGTTTCTTTAAGGGGAGTTCTATCCACTTGTTCGGCTTTTGGTAGCAATATTTTCACCAGAATAGGGGTTTGTTTTGGGATGCTTACCTTTCTGGGTACCTGACCCGGTCGATGGCAGACATAGAATGCTTCCAACCACACGGGGGTTTCTATAGGCCATTGCTCCCCCAGGCCTCTCTGAGGGGGGCCAGGTTCTGGCTTGTGGTCCCTGGTAGGCCCACAGAACTCCATACACGTGACAGATGCCAAAGTCTGACATTAGATATCAACCTAGTAACCTCCAGGGAGCCGCAGGGGCTCCCCCCAGAAAATGCATGATAAAGACTGATTGAGGCAAACTTCACTACCAGAGAAGATTTGTGTATAATGCTTGCAGTCTGCCTGAAAGCCATATTTCTTGAACGGTGAGGCAAAAACAAACAAAATTCCCTAGAAATTATACTCGACTGATTTTTTTCCTTTTGTAAGACCTAGAATAAATGCCTGAGTGAACCTGAACCACCATACGCACCTCCAGAACTCTGCTTCTTGCCACCATCCCCTTTATTTTTGTTAACAACAGAATGTGCCGAGTAGACATGATTCTCAAACAGCCTGTACATGTTGAAGGTGGCTGTACACACTGTACACTTGTAAGACAAGTGGGCTGGCTTCAGTGTCATCTTGTGATCTCTACTGACATGGTTCAGCAGCTTCCACTGGAACACCTGTTGAGTCAAAACAAAACTAGTGAGCATATTTGTTTTAATTATAACTTCCAAGCATGAAGTTGCACCACACTTATTTTTAGTTGCACAATGTTTCCGAGAATGTGAAAATCTTCGAGACTTATTCTTCTAGGTATTTCATACTTAAAATAAATCAAGTCAAACTGATTAATATACAAGAGCAATTTAATAAATAAGTTAACATAGCCTTACATATTACCCCCTGGGCTGTGCAACTGTTAACACCCAACATCCCCATGGTGCACGAGAACTAAACTGTTGGAGGGCAAGTGGATGGATGTTCCCCGATTAGTTGTGACTGAAAACCTGATTGAATGCCTGATTGACTGTGAATGCATGACTGACTGACTGCTGTTGACTGCATGACTGACGTTCCAAAGGAACGAAGAGGACTGCATGATACAATGGGAGAAACTAGACAGACTGCATAAGGGCAGACAAACACCTACTGAAGTTTAATCCCCCAAAATGTAAATATTGAAATTTGAGAGAGAAAGACTAGAAGGAGAGTACAGTACAGTATATAAGGGAGGCAGATACAAGGAACAAAAATGAAATCCAAACCTGGGAGTGAATGTAAGATTATAGTCTTTGCAAAGAAGGTACATATCAACTGAAAATGTTTAGTAGCACATGTAAAACTAAGGATGGCATTCAAGAAGTGAACAAGTAATCCTTCAGAGTACACAGTATATACAGCATATGTTAGGCCAGTCCTACAGCTACAGCATGAAACCTACACACCTCTACGGTACAACAAGAAAACTGACCGTCAATAGAAAACACATAGCCCCCATTCTTTAACGTAAAATAAATAAATAAATAACTAATAAAGAAATGGGGGGCAGAAGAGACAGACCAGAAACAATCACGAACCTTGCCACAGATTGGACAGCGGCCAGCATCCTTGCCCTTGTTGGCTGCTTCTTGCATGGACGAAGTTACCAGCCCGTGTGTACCCAGTAGATGCCGTTCTAAACCCTGTTAAAACACATTATAATGATGCATCTTCGAAAAGCTACACCAGTTAGATGTCATTAATGTAAGTTTTATCCACCATACACATGAAATATGGTTCTATACATGGATGTCATTTCATACACCTAGAAACTGAATAATTAACATAGTTTTTTATTAACAGTCTATTGAAATAATACAATAAATTCCAAGACAAAGACATTATTAAAAAGAAGCTCTATCAAATTAAACAAAAAAAATTGTACATTATAACACAAATACAGTACATGTGTTCAATTTTGGGTGTCATTTTAGGGTATACTGACAATATACATCACAAAATTTACTGATGTGTTAATATATTAATGTATCTCTTGTGACACTTTGTACCTTCTATCTCCTGTGATAAATCTAATGCCATACCTGGTCTGTGAAGAAGCGGTGTTGGCACTTCTGGCAATTGAGCGGTGGGCGGTTGTAAATCATCTTTGGGTGGATCTTAACTTTGTGAATCAGGTTCATATGATTCCGCAGTTGCTCTAGGTCCTGTAGAACACACCCATTCTGGATTATCATTCATACTACTTTTCATCATATTCTCAATATTGATAGCTGGCAAAATCCTGCACACAAACTACATAAATGATGCAGCACCATAAAATATTTTTGGAGCAAATTAATTGCTTATCAAGTATTGTCGTTAATTCATTCCCACGGTAACTCTGCTCGAGACAAAGACAACCATTAAAGAAAATCCTTTTGGCAGATTTATCTAAAATTAATATTCTGACTATTTTTGTGTTCTTGTCCTTAATTAAAAACTCACAAGACGTTCCTCATACACAGTCCTCCACTTTCCCCATCCAACATTTGTTATGCTTACCCACCACTCACTTGGGGAAACAATTTCATCTTACCACACCACTATACAATATATTTCTTGCCCCACTCCACTACTCCTGGCTAAAAGAATTTGACAACATGCAAGCTATTCAGACATGTTGTAAATTATTAAATTTAATCTCTCAGAAACACTTCCTCCATTTACTTGATCATTACTTGATCGGCGCCTGACAGCCGAGTGGATGGCACTTCAGATTCATAGTCCTGAGGTTCCGGGCTCGATCCCGGTGGAGGCGGAGACAGATGGGCAAAATGTTTCTTTCACCCTGATGCTCCTGTTCACCTAGCAGTAAATAGGTACCCCTGGGAGTTAGACAGCTGCTACGGGCTGCTTCCTGGGGGGTGTGTAACAAAAAGGAGGCCTGGTCGAGGACTGGGCTGCAGGGACACTAAGCCCAGAAATCATCAAGATGGGATGTGAATAGCAGGTTTGATTAATTGCTACACAATATGCAAAAAGCAATAATAGGGTTAAAAAAGAAAATGTTGCAACTGTAAGATAAAAATTTTGACAGCATCTACAAGACCACGTACATTCTAGGACTATATAAAGAACTCGCCTTAATGTAACCATCACATATTTCACATATGACGAAGGACGGTTTCCCACTGGAATCCCGAGTTGGCGTGGAACCCTTATTAATGTTTTGGGTCTGCGTCTGGCCTCCCCGTGGTAGCGGCGTGATGGAGATGCTCGGCTGCTGTGGTGACTTGGTATTCCCTGCCTTGCTTTGTACACTCTGCAGAAAAAGACAGGCTCAAGATAATATTTTACTTGTGTAGATGCAAAAATATTCCTTCTCATTTGTTTATAACATATTGATGTGTAACTTAAACTCTGTGCAACAAAACCCACAAAATATTATAACTCGAGTAAAAAATAAAAACAACAAAATAAAGAGAGGACGTGTATTGATATCATAATACTATATATCAGCCCATCCTCCTGTTTTGGTAGTACTTATAGTAACAATGAGGAGCATCGTACATATCTTGACATAAAACGGCAATTAGAAAGTAGAAATTGGTAGTACTGAATTTGGACAACCCAGAAAATTTTTTGTACTGATGTTGCAAAGAAAACAACCAAACCTAACCTTCCTAGGCCTTCTATAGTACTGTACATACTGCATGTTATATACAGTACTAGTATAGCACATATATAGTTAATAATAATTATATGTGCTACACTAGGCCTAGGAGTATTTAAGCTTTTAGCTTCACTTTTTCTATTAGGTGAATACTGTAATACCAAATTCTAGTGCAGCTGTATCAACAGTAATTGTCCATTATGTGTATGTATGTACAATGGACCACACACTTAAGAACAGATGATACACAACCCTTGTGTATCATCTGCGTGAAAGGAAGCGTGCACATGGCGAGCAGGTTATGCGGGAATATCCAACCACCTAACCCACAGGGGTTTACCAGGGTCTGCACAGAATGGCCGTGCAGGAAGTCTAGACACTGGCATTGATATGCTGCAACCCCAATAAGAAAACAGGTCTCCCTGTTAGCGAGAAGGTAAGAGTCTATATACAGAAAGATGAAGGAAAGAGTGTCGCAGATACAGGAGAATGGTTAGAAGTAGGCCAACCCAGTTTACTAGAGCCTATAAGGTCGCATAAACTCCAGTGTGCCCCGCCACCCAAAATTCCCACCCAGAAAAGACCGAAAAAAACTTACCTAGAGTGAAGACTACCCATTGTAAGGGAGCAAACCTTAAACACTCCAAGGAAGAGAGCCCTGACAGTGCAAGGGAGGCCAAAACCATCAGTGGTTTCAAAGCGTTATACAACAAAGAGTACTGGGCAGATGGGATACCCCGAGTGTGGCTCTCACCCAGTAACTACTCTTAGGTAATTAATAGGAAGCACACAGGGAAGAAACCCCTATACACATGCAGCTCCAAGTGCCCTGTACTCCTGGATTACACAGCACAAACATGTGTTGAAACAGCTACAAAGGCAAAAAACCACCACTTACCTGAAACAGGGAACTTGAAACAGAGTGAACTAACTACCATCAGCAAGAACTGAGGGTCTGCCCTCAGACCCCCCCCCAAATAGGAGAGGATGGGGGGGGGGGAGATGAGCTTGCGCTAGTTTCATGAATTTTCAATCATTTGTTTACACTGTTGGGGAAGTTCTTTTGGCAACTTTGAGGCATCACTATATCATATAACCAGCAGTGGTTCGTTTTGTTTCACTGTCTGTGGGGTGCTTCCCCAGTGATGGCTGACATTATTAAAATTAACTGACAATTTTAACATAGTTCCACTGCTCTCTGCATCTCTTTAGAAGAGACCATGTTTTAGCACGTGGTTCTGGGCAGACCTAAAAGAACTTCACGACTGATGGCATTTTGTAGTTTGGCACTATCAGCATTATAGCTTCATGGAGCCAGAAGAGACATTCCCCTAGAAATTACTCTCCACATAACCAGTATGGCATGGTTAGAATGGTTACTTATGCCCTAACAACTTTTATGGAATGAAGTTAGCAGCTGATTGACAACACAATCACTTATCTACATATACGTGCAACTTAATAAGGGAAAAGACATGTGATATACAATTTGCAAGTACTGTATTGAATGTTCCACGAGACACATGGGGTGATCTTCAAAAAACGTTGATACAGACTCATAACAAACCTGCTGTAGAGGTGTTTGGGGCGAAGATCCAGCGCTTACCTGTATGGTAATTGACGATGAAGCTCCCAGTCCAGGAATGAGGCTGACAGAAGAGGATGACGAGGACGGTAAGATGCGTGGCACTCTCGCTGTCGGCTGTGAAGATACGGAAACACTGCTCACTGAGCCAGCTGCACCCGACATTGGGACCAGGTGGCCATTGACAAGCTGTGGGTTGCCAACAACACACACGATAATGCTTCCCAAACAGCGGGGAAAATACACGAATTACGTCTTATGCATTCATGCATGCCACTATTGATTACTGTACTTTATTTTCAAGTTATTTCTCAAAATGTAATTATGAAGCAACTCACTTAAAGTGACAAATGAACATGACTTGGTTAAGAACATTTGCTATAGTGATTTAAGCAAACTACAAAGAAGGCAGAACTCTACATTATAACACAAAAACTCAAAGTGACGTAATTTATGCACGTTCCCTAAGCCTCATCATCTTTACAAGTTGAGACAATGAGCCTTACTGAAGCACTATCTAAGGCTCAGAGATGCTTAATGAGCTTCATTAAAGTGGTGGCCTCTAAACAGTCACTGAATTCTATCAAATCTTGGTAATTTAACTCAAGATTAGTAATGAAATAATGAAAGCAAAATTTACTGGCCAACTAAAGCACTTATACTGACAATGAAGCCATAGCATGCAAATCTGTCATTATAGTATATGTAATGTATGTACTTAATACTCTAACAGAGGAAATTTGTTTAATATGTCTCTTTCTAATGTCTAATAAAATGTCTCTTTCTGAGGAGAAGGAGGGGGGGGGAGGATTACTAAGTGGCTCCCTGTAGTTAGCTGCATTGAGCCTATTTGAGCTCCACACCCATTTCAAATGTCGTTTCACCTTTCACAAACCATGGAAAAACACCATGCAATTATTCCTTAGCTTACAACAAATAAAATTCATACAAAATGATTTAGAAGGGATGTTACAAGAAGCCAACCAAAAAATTTAAGACATGCTACATATCCATAAGGGCCGTGACAAGGGTTCGGATTTACGTCCGAGAGTATCCCAGACGCTGCCTCAATCGACTGAGCTACGAGTTTCTTATCTTCCCTATTATCTTAGCATCATCAGCAAACATGTTCACATAATTCTGTATTCTAGTAGTAGTTTATGTAGACAATGAACATTACCAGTGGAAGAACTGAACCGTGTGGTACTCCACTTGTGACATTTCTCCAGTTCAATACATTGCCTCAGATTACTGCTTTCATTTTTCTTTTAGGTAGAAAATTTTTCATCCATGTTAGAAGCTTACCTGTCACCCCTCCAATATGTTCCAGTTTCCAGAACAACCTCTTATGTGGAACTCTGTTAGAAGACTTTTTTAGGAAAAAAAAAAAAGTTAAAATTGTTTAAGTGTGTGTATGGACTTAAAAGCCTCCTTGTTTAGATTCTTAAATGGCACTCTTAATTTTGGGTTGCTGCTTCACTTGAATGTGCAAGTCTGGCTGGTGTTGGAGTCCCTGGATTTCTGGATGGATACTCAAGCGACTGTTTGGGAGCCGAAAATTTACCCAAGTGGTTTACCCCCTAGGCAGGAATTGGCTCAGGCCTTTGTACCAGATTCTCCAGTGGAAGCTCCATTGGCCTATTGATGGCATCTGGTTTGCCAGTTTCTTCTTTGGGGTTTTCGAGGTTTGGTCCAATGGCAACTTCCACCCACAGTGCTTGACCTTTTTACACGCCAGGACCTCAGTCATGGGATGAAACTTTGTGACAAACACTCATCAGGCTTCTCTGGATCATTGGGTGGGTCTCTCTTGTCAGGCACACAGCACAGTTTGAGAGTTTGCAGAGGTGTGGCATGCTCTGCAGCTCATTCGTCTGCTTCTAGGCCCCATGATTCAGCTCCATTCCAACTGCTCCCTGATGGATCACAGTGTATGAGGGGATGAGGGGTCACTTCAGACCTTTCCACTTCAGTGGGGCTGGACTCTCAGAGACACATCTTCTGGGCCGCAGGGGTCTGGCTCTCCACCCTGTTCAAGTGCAGGGCATGTCCAACATTAACGTGGATAGTCTCCCTAATTTCTTTCCTATTTCCAGTGAGTGGAGTCGATGACATGTCCTTCCATTGCCTACCTTTAGGTGTATCTATTTTCATCAATGTGGAATTGCCAGCTTCTCTCCTAAAGTCCTGTTCCCCAGTAACAAAGCTCTGATGGTGATTACCTTGCGGTCCTTCAATGATTGTGATTTGGGTATGTAGGAATTGTACGATCAAAATGTCCATGATTATTATGTCATTGTTCATGAAGAAGTAGAGAGCATGGTATTTCTGATTTGTTACTGTAACTATTTTCTTTGGTTTCTTGTTTGACTTTCATTCAAGGTTCAAAGACAAATTTTCAGTCATATGACTTGTTCAGTCTTTCCAAATTTATAAAAAACTATGGAGACCCTTCCAGACATCTGTCCCCCCTATCAAGCATATGATTTACTCATTCAATTTTACAACAAGTTTGAATTACTACTGTTGAGGATAAAGTAAACATCTGCCAACTATAAAACTCATTCAACTTTAATTGCACCAACCAACAGTTTAATATAATGTTAAATGCTTCATCTACTGCAAACAATCATTCATATAGTCAATTTGAACACTCATCTACCTGCATGTTAACTAACTGAAATGAATGTTTTACTTACATGGAACATCTGGTTGCCAAGAGTAAACTGTTGTGCATTCCCCGACACCTGCTGCACCAAGTTCGCTGTCGTCGTTGTCGTCGTTCCACGAGTTGTGTACAACAAAGATCCCGTATTAGCTGCATCATAACACAAAAAGGAAACACACATAACTGTATGTTCACAAATTGTGGCAAATGGCATTCAACAAGAAGAGAAGCACCTGTACTGTCGTCTCTCACAAGACCAACACAATCCTAATGAAACCATCTGCTCTAATGCACTATGGACACTTACCGTAATTATTCATCTTTCTTAAACAACAGTCACACTGGAGTCACAATCTCCCTCTCCCCAAAATCCTCTCAAAAACACAGTAATTGTTTTAGAAAAAACTCGAGCAAAGGTTAAGTTGCCTGCTGTAGATGCAGGGGCCAAAATAATGCTCATGAGTCAAGTGATCGTAGATCTGGATGACAAACTACTTAATCCTTAAAACACAAAAATAAGTTAACATTTATAGTTTCACTGGATGGAGGCACTGTGCAAGTCTGTGTCTGACACTTGTCAACGCCTGGTGCTCGATTTTGCTGATGCTTCCTGATTTATTCTCTGATATTTCAGCCAATTGTTTTATCATATGTTTTCTTTATTTACATCCACAGAGAACCTTCATACTTGCATCATACATGTAAAACCCAGACAATAATTGTTTAAATCATCATGTAATGGTGACCGCATTCCTCTAGTAACATTCATGATGATAGCCGCATTTGTACCACGAACTGTAAGCAGAATTTTTCCCATGGTCAAGGTAAACTTCATTACATTCACATAGACCCATGAACCTCTAAGTTTTTAGAGGTGTCTCAACAATTATATCCATATTTGCATCATACAAGTAAAACCCAGACAATAACTGTTTAAATCATCATATGATGACATCCACATTACCCTGTGACTCAACAATTGACGATAACCATTGTCTAAGGGTCAAAATATGGTTTTCATCTAAAACTTTCATCAGGGCCATTAACAAAAAACTTGCCTCTTAGCATATGGAGATCTAGATGTTTAACAAAACTCTTAAATTTTATTTTGAAGGAATTTGACAATACAGTATTGTGTTTGACTTTTTACCACCGACAGTGCTCAAAATATCAGCAATACACGACAGTTGAAAGCTATTCTAGTCATTTTTGGAAGGGGAACTTTGAACAGGCAAAATAATTGAATCAAAGAATTTAATAGTATATACTGAGCTATTTACTGCAAATTAATATACAGTGGGGCCTCAATTTACGATGGTAATTTGTTCCCAGAGAAGCATCGTAAGTCGAAATATCGTAAGTCGAAACGATTTTTCCCATAAGAAAAAGGGAAATGAATTAATCCATTCCTGACTCCCCAAAAAATTCACTTCAAAGTAAATTTTATACCCAATTCACCCAAATCTTCACTACAAAAGTATGTACAAGTTATTATTTACCTTTACTGATGACTCCTGTTGGCATATGGAAGATGGTGAGGAGGGAGAGGAGGAGAGGAGTTACTGTTTGGGAGGGGAGTTTCCTTCCATTATAACATCTGGCAGTGATGATTTCACTGGGGTACTCTCTCTCTCCTAAGTTTTGCCTGCATACCACTAGGACTGGGTTGTGTTCACTGCTAGTTTATCTCACTAAAAATCTGTCTAGAGACACTTGTTTTTTACCTTCGTTTTAACATGTGTCTGTAATGATGCATCAGTGTCACTGAAAAGATTAAGGCAACGGCCTACTGCATCTTGATTTGGGCGAGTCGTTTCAGAAAAAGTTTACAGTTCTTTCCATGCTGCACACATTTTCTTAATTTTTTTTTTACCCGAATGTGTATCAACAAATATCGTTAGTCAACGACACTATCGTAAGTCGAGTCACATTTTTCGATCAAATTTATATCGTAACTCAAAATTATAGTAAGTTGGGGCAATCGTAAATCTAGGTGCCACTGTAGTTGAAAGATTTTTGTGCAACATTTTTGCTAGGAAGATTTAAATTTTAAAATTACATTTTGTGCATAAACCTTAGACTGAACTAAACAATAATGGTAAATTTACGAAAAAAATTCTAGCCAAACCTTTTTATTCTAGTCAAGCTAACCAATCACTAAAATGTGGGAGACGACAATACGACCAAAAACACTGCTGGTACACACCTGTGGTGATTCCTCGGCCTTGATTGGGTATGGGCCCTGTGTTCTTGTATGAGCCCACAGGTCGCCCTCGCCCCCGGCCCGCTGCTAACGATACTGCATTTGCTGTCGTTAGAAGATTTGATGCAACTGCTGACTGTATACTAATGTTCATTCCAGCCAAATTTTTTGGTAATAAGTTAGGCATCTTCACTGGTTCGAAGGCTTTCCCTAAAGTATTTGGTCGACCTCGATGAATCTGAGTAAAACAAGAAAATCAAATATTTATTTTAATCAATCAAGAAATCAACAAATAAAGAAACACGAAGATGAAATTAATCTTCAATAGTAACCATGTCTTGTCTAAGAGGACCTTTATCAAGTGTTTGTGTGTGTGTGTCAGGGCTGTGAGGATGCTAAGCCCCGAAATCATCTCAAGATAACCTCAAGATAGTCTGATTTACTGTGAATGCCTAATTAACTGTGAATAGCTGATTAACTGTGAATGGCTGATTGACTGTGAATAGCAGAATGTGAATGAAATGAATGACTGACCCCTAAAGCTGGTTGCTACCACACCTGAATGCTTGACTGACATTTGTGACCATAACTGACTTGTTCTGACTGGTTGGCACACATAACAGTGGCAGTGAAATGTGTGAAAGGAAAATCTGGAACCAGTGATGCAGATATGAATGCACTTAAGATGAGCAGGGAGATGGTCTCCACCTCCTCACCCTCCCCATACACCAACATCGCTCCTCCCTCCCTCTTCACTGTCTCCCATACCCCAACAAGAGTCCTCAGTAAAGGTAAAGTGTAGTTAAGTGTTCACTTATTTTATTTATGGTTTATATTTATACCTGATTGTTTTGTGTATGAAAAATATGAGTAGTATTCTGTATAAAATGTATTTTAAGTTAATATTTTTGGGCGTCTGGAACGGAATAATTCAATTTACATTATTTCTTATGGGAAAATACATCTCGGTTTTTTAATTTTTGATTTTCGAACCGTCTCTGGGAACGGATTAAATTAAAACACGGAGATACCACTGTAATTGCATTCTGTGATGGAGATGTTAAAACTAGTCCAACTACTTAAAACAGTGAGTAATATGAAACATACATGTAATACCTTCGGAATCTTGGCAGGAGGCTCCCAGTCTATTAGTTCACAGTTCTTCTCGGGCTTGTACTTTTTGCTACAAGAAAACGAATGCCTAGTCATTTTAGATTTGTTGTTATCTTCGTATGGACATAGGGAGCACTGGAAAAATGCCGGGGCACGTTCCAGACGTCCCCGAATATTATGTTCTGCTTCCATGTGGAACAAGATTACCTGAAAATAAAAATAAAAAAACAAAAAATGCATTATTCATAAATAGTTAATCATAACATCACCAATGACACTACAAAAGTAAAAATACAGTATTATAGGATTTCATAGTTTTCTATAAATAAATTCCCATATACGGTAACATGCAGTACTTCAATCAATAACTACAAGTTGATATTTAATACAACTCTCGTAGCCTCACCTGAGGTCCGCGTGTTTCAAAATCGCAGTAGTTACACTTATAAGTATAATTAACCATATGAGGAGACTCCAAATGCCGGTCCATTACCATCTCGCTCTCGGTCTTGAAATTACAGAATTTGCAAATCTTGAGCGGCACACTAAGGTGAGAATTCTTCGTCCGAGTGAACTCTAACTGTCTCTCTAACATCCTAACCGATAACTGGAAAAATTAAAAATAGTTAATTTATAGGAAACACAAAGAAATCAGACTAACATAATATATATATATCAGTGGATCAATTTAACAATCAATTTAACATGAGTGATCATGCTTAACATTATACAATTCCCCATAATACCTTGTATATTGAAAATGTGCAAGTGTAACATCAAGAGTACATGTGGATGTTAACAACTAGTGTCCACAACTCAGCATACAATAACACAATAGCTACAACACTCCTCTAACATACACACAAACACTTCTTGACTGATGTAAAGTAAACAATGGGCTCCACATGTGTTACTCAGCTACACAACTCACTGTGCAAGCAAGACTCCCATAACAATCCACTTCTCATTCAATTCAAATATACTACTTACATACTCATACACACACACACTTGTGTTTTATGTTACTATATAAAACTATACAATTTTGATACACTATTTAAATGCAGGCGATGAATCACAATAACGTGGCTAAAGTATGATGACCAGACCACACACTAGAAGTGAATCAATCGACTTGAGAATGGTCCAGGACGGACTGAAACGACGTCGTCCCTTCACCTTCTAGTGTGGGGTCTGGTCATCACTATTTAAATAATATTCAAGATATTGTAGAAAAATATACATTTTATTTTGCACTCTATTTATTCTCCAACTTGTTATCAATAGAACAAGAGGTGAATCAAGCACTGAATATTGCTTAATTTCACTCACAAGGATGAAGAAATATTTTGTCAAGAGCCGTTTCTGAACTGCAAAAATTCTTTACCTTAAGCAGTCACTGTTCACTAGCTAGATTTATAAAGCAGTGGCCACAACTCCCACAAACTAACCTCACTGCAAATTATGTACAATTATTGTCCTGGTAATAACTATGTTGAAACCATTTATTTGGTCAACTGCACCTTCACAACACTTCCCCATCCAGTCTAAAGTTCTCCTAAAAAAGGTGCTTCAGTCAAGCCATGTTCACTGCCACTTGTATCAAGCTGTGCATATCTCCTGTGCCTGTCTTCCCTGCACATTTGTCCACTTCAGTATTTTGTCAGTCTTCTACATATTCTTTACCATTACATTGACAGTGTGGACTTGCATTTGGCAAAATTTTCTTCAAATGAATGCTTGGCAACAAACAGGCAAGCACTTGTAATGGCTTTTGTCAATATGGCATCACATACTCACCTAGTTGTGCTGGCAGGGGTTGAGCTCTGGCTCTTTTGATCCCTCCTCTTAACTGCCTATCAACTGGTGTAGAGATTCCTGAGCCTATTAGGCTCTATCATATCTACATTTGAAACTGTGAATGGAGTCTGCCTCCACCACCATGTGGGTCTGTCCATGAAAAGATTTCTAGTGATAATTACCTCTCCCAGGAACCTGGAATTACCTAGAATTTTACACAGATATCCCTCCCACTATGAATCCGCACATAACCAGGGACATCACCATGCTAGTAAGTGCCACCACCACCAGTTTTGTACCTCATGAATTCAGTGATTCCTTGGTGGTTAGGCCCTCAAGTGACCAAAATACCTATTTGTTTTCAAGAAATACCACTGACAGGTCACCAAATGCACTCAAATGTAAAGGCTCATAGGATATTGCTCCCTGTGCCTCTCTGAGGGGGGAGGGGGGAGGTAAGGTTCTGGCCCGTGGTCCCCAGTAGGGATAAGGACTCCTGTGACTAACAACCCCAAACTAATATAGCACATAGCTATATTAGCACATAACATATAGTTTGGATAGCTTCAAGGAGCCAACGGGGCTCTCCACATAAAAACATAAATACTTATCTGAGTACTTACAATTCCTTCTCTGGACGGAGCAGTCTTCATCTTATCTAATTTTCTCTTTTGCATTCGCAGAAGATCATTCTGTAGAAATTCCTGTGCCTGGTTTAAACCCAACTCCAACACAAATTTGCCTAGAGCACTGCGGTAATAAGGCTCCCATCTGAAATGAACAATATGCCTCATGTACTGTCAATCAGCTGAAAGAATAGGTTTAAAGGTCTTAAAACAAATAATGCTTTACTTGATAAAAGTACCATATTTCTAAAGATATGGATATGAGGGGAACAGATGAGAGGGTGAGAGGACATCAGTACTGAGAGGGGAACAGGTGAGTGAGGGAACAGGGTGAGGGGGTGCAAATGCAATACTTCAGCAGTGGGATTTTTTTTTTTTTTTTTTTTTTTTTGCAGGGATATTCGTGCTCGGGCCCTAAGCCTCTGGCCGGCTCACTAAGTGGTATATGATGCTCAAGATATTAATAAAGAAATATATACTGACATATACTTTGCACCTTTGTGATAAGCCAAAATAGACAAGAAATATTCTCAAATTAAACAAAAATTATGGTGTCTATATAAACAGTCTATTAAACAATGAAATGTCAAGAAAAAATGTGTTCAGTAATTTAAAAGCAGCAAACAAAAAGAAAAATGGCAGGAAATCCTCAGGTCCTTCAGTAGATCACAATTTTAAAAAGACAAACTCTCAAAATGCGACTATATGATCCACAATGAAACTCGTGAGATATATTCAATAACATTGCAATAAAAGTTACGTTCATCAATTATCATTACCCTATTGCCCATTTAAATTTGGTGTCGAGTCATCATTCTAAAGAAAAAGGGTGAACAGGATAAAGTTTATAGATACTAAAATAAAATACAGGTAATGTTATATATAATTGATATATTATTTACACTATGCATCATGAAGCAGTCATCCACAGTAGCATACCACCTCTTGAGAAGACCAGATGTACAGTGCTCCCCATAAAGTGTCATATTGTCAAAAACATTTACTACCTCTTTACAACGACTGTGTCCACCCAACCTTGTCCCTCACCACATTCCTTGCCATGTTCACACACTGTCTGCCTCCTCACACGCTCACAATGTCCTAGCATCATCGTCTTGGTCTCTCTCCTCCTCCCCTCAACTTAACTTTAATACACACTGCATATAACGGTCCAACAAACTGTTCAATATAAGCGAACCAAATCGTACACAGTTTAACCCTACACACACCTCCCTTCTCTCACACACAGACAGGACACTATGAGCATAGCTCTCATCCTGTAACTACATATAGGTAATTACACACACACACAGACTGGCTGAGTGGAGAGCGCACTAGACTCGTGGACCTAGGGACCGGGGTTCGATCCCGGCAGCTGGCAGAAAAACAAGTGGGCAGAGTTTCCTTCACCCTGATGCCCCTGTCTCACAGGAGGTACATGAAATCCGGGCCTCACAGAAGGTACGTGAAAAATGCCTCCCGAGCTGTTGAAGGAGACTCGAGAGGAAGGAAACCGCTAGAAGGATGGATCCCGATGGGCCCAAAAGCGAACAGAACTGAACCCTGGGAGGAGCCACATGCAAATCCTACTTTTACAAGCTGGGAAGATACAAAAATTCCCTCCCCCACCCCTCCCCTGCAAAAGGAGATCATTCTCAAAGAAGGAACCACCGAGTTAATCAGGACCCACAGGCCAATATCAGACTCCCCTAAACTCCAGAAGATGCACTCGAGGGCCATGGAGAGGAGTCAGCATCCATGCCTACTGCCCGAGAAAGAAAAGCAGAATCCAGAAAAGATTAAAAAAAAGGGGGATCTGACTGAAAGGAAAACTCCAAAGCCTCGGCAGGATTAGTCAGCTCAACTGGTTCTACACCAGACTCAGAAGGGGCAACCCTCTGGAGTTGGGCAAGCCACATACTCAGCTAAACGCTGCCTGGACCCAGAAACCCTCAAGATGTTTCAGGGCCAGAAGCAGGGGGAAGGATAAGACGGGTGAACCAAGCTAAGAGGGAAAGGAAGACGAGGCATAGACAGAGCCAAGGTTGGGTTCACCAATACCTCCAATTCCAAGTCACTAAACACCAGACGGAGCAACTCCAGGGCATATAACCAAATATACAACCTAGACTGCAGTAACCGAGCAAAGTGAAAGCTGTCTTCTACATCATAACCTCATCAGAAGGTCAGAAAGAAAAGTTTCAGAGGGAGAGCAAACCCTAAAAGACTCAGGGCCAAATGTCTCACCGACCCAGCAGATAGCATGGTGGAGGCAGAACAAGTGATCGTCATCTTATGGCATGGGCGACGAGCAACCATCAAACTCACACTTGGCGAATGTGGGTTCGGAAGGGATGTCTATGTAACTGCAGAACCCATAAACAATTTCTAGGGTCTGAAGGGAAACCAAGCAGGACAACCCAGACACAAGGGACCCTAGCCCAGGCCTAAAAGTAAGCCAACACAGCCTGGGTTACACAGCTATGAAGGCCGACCTTGGTTCACTGAAGGGAAGCCCACGAACCACCAGTGTGCACCACCAACTAAAATTGCACCTGACACGGCTTATGACAGAGAGGTTGAAAGACTCCCGACTCACTCAAGGTGACAGCCACCACAAGCAAGGAGGACCTCTAAAGCAGTGACTCCAGAACACTAAACAGAAGGCAACTCTGGCAATGCAAGGGCAGCATTAAGGAGCACACAGAGAAGATAATGCTGAGCACATGCAGCTCTAAGCACTCTTATTTCCTGGCTCATGCTACACTACATTGTACAAGAAAAGCCACCAAAAGCAAAAATCCAAATGTCCTTGCTCCCTACACCTCTGAGGAAAGCCAGGTTCTGGCTCTGGTCCACAGTAAGCCTAAGACCTCCATGGCTGATGCAAGCTGGTAGATGGGAACCAGCTCAGTATATAGCTTCAAGAAACAACTGGGGCTTTCCCCAGTTAAGTAAAACTAAGGTCCCACATTCCAAGGGTTAATATCATATTAATCATAATAAAATTAAAGTATGCACATTTATTGTTTAATTTTTGCAAAGCTCTTTTCTATTTTATATATCTTACAATCTTGGAAGACATTTCCATGCATCTCATGTCGAATTTCAATGCATCTTGTACCAGTTCAGGTTTGGAAACAAAGTATGTTTAATCTCTTTCCTCATGTTTGTTTATTCACTGCTATTGAAAGGGTAGGGAAGTCACGTATCAAATCCTGTTCACTAGCTACTTATGTAAAGGTTTGTTTCATGTCTGACTTTCACTCCTCTCTTTCCTTTGTAACCTTCAATTATCCTTCCCCAGATAAATGTAATATTAAGCTGCATACATAAAGTAATATCTAGATTTGACTTAACACTTCACAGCCTCTTTCAAATCTTGGCTTTGTCTACTCAATGTTATTTCTTAGTTTCTCAAAATCTCATTTTCTTTAATTCATTGTATAGAACATCTTGGTTCCCCTGACTAGGGAAAAAAAAATTTTGTAACTGCCTTTTGTAGCTCTTGGGTACAGAACAGTATTACTGTGTGTGCTTGCCTATCAGTGAATACATTGTACTGCATTTGTCTTTGAAATTATGGATTGAGGTGGAAATCACGTCTTCAGCCACGTTATTGTGACTCTTCATCTGCATATTAATTATGCATTTTATCAAAGTAGGGAAATCTCAAACAATGTTGCCAGCCACATACAAGAATTTAACTTTCTCTCAAATTTTTGGTAATGACATTAATTTGATGCTTAAATAATACATTTTTGTTATGACCCATGACCCATAATACAAATACGCCCAATAATAGAAAAGGGGGGTGTGGCATACATCAGAACACATCAACTCGAGGTGAACACCATCCTCACCAATGCCACACCATGCCAGATTCTATTCAATATTCACAATAGGCAGACGCATCAACACGGCAGCTGCTAACGATGCCATATTTTTGCCATGTATGTCCTACATCAAGCAGTAATATGAAACTTTAAATTTGTATAAACTAACACTATTTAAAAACTGATCAGGGAGAACTTTTAGTTCTTAAATTTTGATAATAACAACTAAATACAGTAAACTGCAGTATTCAGTTTTATTTAGTTCGGATGATTAAATCATGACACAGGTTATAAGGTATGAAGACAATAAAACCTGGCAATTCCTGTACATGTACACACTTGCAAGTATCTGTAGACTATGTCATAAGTAAATCACAACAAGTCCCTATACTTTTGTGACATCAATGACAATTAACAGAACTTGTAATTTGTTCATAATTGCCTGTGAAAGTGGAGCATGCGAGGAATAAATTACAGGCTCTTTGGGTTTATCCCGTATTACTTAGAGTACATTTACCGGCAGGTTTTCGTGAGGAGTAGTGCCGAGTCAAGAGGGCGTGCCGGCTGCTGTATTCGCCCAGCTTCATCACTGCACAAATGATGATAGGTGAACATATGGCATGTATATTCCCCATATTAAATGATCCCACGAGTTAATTTCATGGTACATAGACTTACTATTTTCATAAGTAAATAGTTAATTTCATGATGGATTAACTAATAATTAAACATCTGAAAAAACACTGAAGGCAATACTGAAGGCAATTTATTAATAGTTTCAGGAGTCAGAAAAATATGGGGGTTCTGCTAATTTGTCTAAACATAACAATGACATTAAGGTAAAGCCTTTATAAAACAAATCTAAGCTGTAAAAGAGAAGAAACTGGGAAGACAAAATGTTGAGAAGAGTTGTGGGTAGCAGGAGTGCAGTTGTGTATCATGCATTGTTTATGGATACAAAGGAGTTATCAAGACTGCATTTCTCTACAAGCTAAAGGAAAATGGGGTGCTGAATATATTCTTGGGAGAAATAATCAGTTGTTATACTTAATGTATTGCACACACCACTAGGCACCACTACAATTTGGCATCATCCTATTTCCCACTTCTAGGGATAGGGGAAATCCTCTCCCCAAGACAAAAGTTTTTATTAAAAATTAAAAATATTTAAAATATTCATACAATCCAAAAGTTATGAAAAACTATAAGAGACTACATAATAACAAGGGACAAGAGTTGGACCAGATCCACAAAGGCAAAATTATCCCAACATTCAAGATACCGAGTGGAATGGACAAAGAGGATACATACAATAATTTTTCAGGCGAGACAACTGAACAAGAAAGCCCACATGGATGTGGTAATGCAAATGCACCAGAGAAATACACAAAAATACCAATATTTGAATGCAGTGAGGGTAATAAAAAACTGAACAAGGCCGAGGCAGAAGTAGAATTGGCCACCACCGACAATCTCGGGAACAGGTATAACACTCCACTCTACGAATAAAGTAATGGTAATTATTTCAGAATAAAACAGGCCATTTTTCTGTTTAGAGTTTTGGAAAGCATGTTGCAAGCTCAGTATCCCATCAAACATGACTAAGGTAGGTAAGGTATTCAACCTCACCGAGTTAAAACTTCTCCAATTGTTAACATAAAATAAAAAACAGCCTCGACTCTGAGCATGGCATGTGCCCAGTGAACAGTTCCTCATTATGAACGGCTCACAAGCAAAATGTTAGATGAAGTCTCACTGATTTCTTTCTTGCTAGCCTACACTATTGTTGTCTCTGAATTAAGTTCACCCAAATAAAATTAAGCAATTATGATAACAATTTATGAACTTATGTTTTCCTTATCATTATTTTGTTATATTAATTCAAAATAGTAATACATATTATTATGTATGATATAATTATGAAATTGTGAATGAATATGAAATAATATGTGAATGCACAAAGAAGGTTTGAACATTTATTCATTCTTCTTTTTCACTGTCAATAACATTCTTGACACAGGACACAGGTCAGGAGGAATTGGGTCTGGGGTAACATGAGTGAAAAACAAATACACAACAGTACTTTATAGCTTGACCCAAGATAATTAAGCAAGCACAATTAATTTATAACTCAGAGGCTCCATGACAAATTATCATTGAATACTCCAGTAATATCTTTGATGCTATACTGACTAGGTGTAAAGTACTTTATACAAAGTCATAAAACAGAGTTTTAATTTCTTTCCAACAAACTGCTCCTCACATTCATACCTTTTTGAACACAATCATATCTGCCTCTCTTCTTAAACCTCCACCTTCTACCCTCAAGCAAACTATTAACCACTCACCCACTAATTCAACACTGTGACTCTAGCATAAAATGATCACTGCTAATCGGGTGTGTCTTCTGAACACCGGACACGGTGCTCAGACTAGCTCATACCACATCAGCATTTCCATCAGTACGTAAGGAAAGGCACTAATACTGCTGCTATATGCAGCCTTCTGGCAGCACTTCTTGTTATCTTCTTTCTCCCCAATGGCTTTCATGGCATGAGCCACCATCTCTTCTTGACTCACTCTGCTGCCACAAATTCTTCTTCTGCCAATCACATCATTATTACCCCACTTTCCACTTTCATGGCTTGCAAAGGTTTTGGGTTCAAAATATAGGATAACAGTACAGGAAAACAAAACTGAAAATATTCAAATATACCAAATTTGCCCGAAACGCTATGCGTGCTAGTGGCTTTACAAGAAAGTAAAATCACCATCATTACTATGTACGCTTAACCCCCCAATGTACCTTCTTGTATATAAATAATAAAAATAAACACCACCATCTATTCACTGGAAGTGACACTAAGAAACATCACAAAGAAGAAGCACCATCACACCATCTGATGTACTTAAGAGTTGCAGCGCACTTCTTACTCAGAAAGTAGCAAACATCGTCACAAAGTGTCCATACTGCTGGGATAAGCATTCCAAGTTTCAAGACTGTGGAAGTGTGAATGGTGAATTAGCAAGGTGCTTCACTTAAGTCCCATTCCAGGTTCCCAAGGCCAGGCAGTTATGTGGTGATGTGCAAAGCTATTTTGTATTCAGAGTAGCACCCCAAAGCCTTTTACAACCAGTACCTGCAGCTTCATAAATTTGTGACATTGACGAGTTATTATTTACAAACACCTCAAACACTGACTTTCACTTCCCACGTTGACACTACCACCATCTGAGGAGCAAACATTTTAAACATCTTGCATAAAATTAAAAGCACCATGATGAGAATACACTCAAGTGATTCAAAACCAAGATAATTTGTGTACTTGAACACCCAGTCTACTGTAACAATAGACACAATAGTCGTTGATAAGGAGTTGACAAAAGAAAAGACTTCACTTCAGACTGACTGCTTGGTTAAAAAGCTAAAAAACTAATGTTGAATGTAATGAAATGTCCTTTTCTGGGTTTGACCTGGAGGCTTCCTAGGGCTATCCGGGCTGATATGAATGTATTAGACCCTGGCATCAATCAAGCTAACGGAGTTCTTAGGCCTATCAGGGACCAATAGCCAGAACGTGGCCTCCTCAAAGAGGCACGAGGAGCAGTGGCCGATAGAAACCCCCGTGTGGATGGAAGCATTCTATGTCTGCCATCAATTGGGTCAGGCACCCCAAAACAAAGCTTATCTGGTTAAAATATTGCTACTGAAAGTCTAACTGTTGGACAGAACTCCCCCAACCAAAAACGAGCAAACGAGCATGACGTCACAACTGTCTGTTACCGCCGCTGTCCGCGCACTTCCCCCTCCCCGGGAGGGGGAAAGGGAAGCCCCAGACTCCCGCACCAGCTATCAACACCCCAGTTCTGGGGTTGGATGTCAAAATATAAAAAAAAAAAAAAAAAAAGCCAACCAGAGGTAGGGAGGGTTGCCTGGGAGCCTCCAGGTCTCATCCAGAAAATGGCATTTCATTACATTCAGCACTGGTTTTCTGGGAGGGGGGGGGGGGGAGCCCCTTCTGCTCTCTGGAGCTACTTAACCATACATAAAACAAGAGGGACTTACCCGGGAGGTGGTCGCCACTTGTCTTGACTTTGAGCTGAGGAACATCTGATTGCAACCGCCGATTCAATGTGACACATACCCGACTAGGGCCAGGACCCTGTTCGACCTCAAAAAGCCCCGTGCCCGAATGTCAGTCCAAGACATATTACCGAAGACCGCACCCAACGCAGCAAACTTACGAACATCACAGGCACGAGGATAGAACATCACGATGCACGAGGATGCATCGTCTCCTCAGCCAAGAGACGATGCATCCACGAACATATCTAGCGAGGGCTTGGGTTGGCGCCAAAGCATTGAATCCCAAAAAACCTGAAGAGGAAGTCTGCGATGCAGCAGCCGACGTAAAGCACCCAGAGCCCGAACCCAGCGATAGCAAGAGAAACGGAAGGGACGTCCCCGAAGGAACCAGAACAGCCAATAAAACCTAACCTCACATGGTGGGTAGACCATCACGGCAAAGTTCACACTCCCACACAAACCCTCGAGCAATCACCTCATGACCCAGAAACCTCTCAGAAACATTCGAAGGCAGGACCTCAGCCACAGCAGAGCCGCCGGAGAGAGAGACAGCGAAGCAGTCCGAGCATCCCACACGATACCCAGTCAAGACCGAACCTGAGAGGGATCCAGATGGGACTAAAAAGCTGAACCCCCAGGACGTGAATACACAAGGGGACCTAGTGGAGGGCCACCAGAATACAATATATATGAGTGGCAACAACCAAGGGCAGACCCTTCAACAGGCAGAAAAAAAACCACTGTACTGTATGAGTACAACGTACCCAGGCAGAAGAGTCGGCCACTATCAGGTGAAGAACAGCTGCGCAGTACCTCGTGCCCCTACCAGTGATGAAACTACCTCCTATCCAGAAGCAAACAGAGGTGCATGAAACACCACAGCCGACTTCAAGGGCGGGCAATTACAGAGCAGTAAAAGACCTCAGCGAAGGCAATCCCCAAGCAACTTGTATTAGACAAACCCCAAGCCACAAGGGTAGTACTTACAGGGCACCTAGGGAAGGTAGCCATAAGTGCATGCAGCTCGAGTACTGTAGTACTCCGGCTGCTACATACTGCAGTACTCTAATCAAATTCATATCAGCCTGGATAGCACTGGGGATGTTGAAGGGACTCCCCCTAGAAAAAATAATTGCTCAAAGGTAAATTTCAGTACAGTAGATTATACTTAATGCTACAGCAACCCTAGCAGTGTAGAGTAACATTTTCCACCTCCATCACTTAACGTAAGTTACGGATTGGTAATGAGCGAGGTGTGATGCCACGTGGCTTGTCAACCCAGAATACCATTAAAATGTGTGTTGGTGTTTCCCCCCCAAAAAAGCAACATGTCACTACTTACTTTCCAAGGTGAGCCAAGGTGTCTTCTGTCTTCTTGTTCTCCTTCTCTAAATCCACAACACTGTCTGTATCGCTACTCTTGTCCTTATTCTCCTTATCATCATCGTCCACCACAGTTGTTTCTTTGTCTACTTTTTCAACTTTTTTACTCTCGTCTTTTTCCGTCTTACTCTCTTTTTCCGTTCCTTTTCCCTTTTCTGCTTTAGTTTCCTTTTTTCCTTCACTTTCCTTTTCTTTTTTTTCTTCATCCTTACTGGCTGCCTTCTTGCTGTGTCCCCTGGCATTCTCACTATCAGCACCTTCCCTGTCTTTACTCTTTTCAATTTCACTTTCCTTTGAATCATCACAGTCTTTTTCTCTATCTGCATCTGATTCCATTTCTTCGTCCTCATCATCGCCCGTCTTCTTTTTACTCTCCTCCACCTCTTCCCCTGCTTCCATCCTCCTCCTCTTCTCCTCCTCCTGCAACTTTCTTTTCTTATCTCGTTCCTCTTTTTCCTTCTCATCCTGAATTTTCTTCTCCTCTGCCTTCTTCTTTTCTTCCTCTTGCTTTTCTTTCTTCTCATACTCCTCCATTTCTTTGTTTATTCTACGCAAGAAGGTTTTAATTGGTTCCTGCCCAAATAAAACATTGGTGTTAAATAACAAGGAAGACACAGCAAAACAAAATGAATTATAATTCCATTGAGAAGTGGCAACCCCCATGTAAGAGGAAAGTGAGAGGAAAGTGAGAGTAATGAATGTTATAATAAAGTGTTCTCTACTAAGCCTCCAAAGTGAAAAGTGTTTGTGTGTGTGTCTCATTAACATTGCCTCAACAAACAACAACATGTTACATACCATTACAAAACATCCTACCAGTATATAGGCTAAATTGAAATTTTTGTACTGGACATTAGATTTCAGAGCAAAATGTTAATTTGTACATATTACCCAAATGGGATGGTAAGAATACAAATTGATTGAGTACAAGAAAATAATAACACACAATTGATTAGTTAATAAAGATACAAAGACTAAACCTAAAAACAAAGATTTATTCAACATTCTGGAGGAGAGAACCAGAGAATAAGAAAGAGTGAGTGTAGATTATTTCTAGATATCAACAAATCTTCAGCAAAGAGAAACATATAACCCTAATCTGAGATACCCATAACAAAATTAATTCATTATATTGATCTGAAATATCCAGACAAACACAACACCCAAGTCTGGAATATCTAGAATGAGAGAAATATCTTTTTTTTTTAAATCAGGATGCAATTGAATTAGAAATGTGTTATATTAGAAGAGTATAACAGAAGAATATATAAGCAAATATGGTTCATGATGACCAAACCACACACCAGAAGACGAGTTGATAATCGCCTCGATAGTGGTCCAGGACGGACCAAAATGTCGTCGTCTCTTCATCTTCTGGTGTGTTGTCTGGCCATCACATCTTCAGCCACTTTGTGACTCGTCGTATACAAATATGCTCTGTATATGACGCCATACATACGCCAAGCCAATTAAAACAGAGAAACTCAAGTCACGTGCAGGTTAACGTTGGCTGACTGATGGTTCAAACACAGATGTGCACCAGTACTTACTGACACAAGTTTATGTTGTTATACTCTACACTGTTTGATATTCTGTGCTAATATGTCAGTGAAACACTTGCAGTGAAAAATATGAAAGTGATTGAGATAAGGAGTGTCAAAAGAATTATACATTAGTAAAGTGTAAAATGTAAACAAGAGGGAAAACAAAAACAAGAAACCTAAAGAAAATAAATGGTTAAGTCTTTTCTAACAAGATTAAAAATCAAGTAAGGAGTGAATAGTGCTCTAGTTGGCCATGATGCTTCAAGGTGCATAATGCCTTCTTATCAATTATATGGTACATCACAGGCAAAAAAATTATGATTTGTTTTAAAATATTTGATAAAAAATAAAGCTTTTAAAAATAAATCTATGAATGAGATAAATAAAAAATTAATAAAAATATGTAGTACAGTATATGGTTAATTCATGACATTAAAGATAGTATAAATTGCAATACATTATATAACAAATATTAAACTTCCCACACTTCAAAATATTGAAACCTACCTTGGGCTTCCCCTCCATAACGTAGGGCACTATAAACGATGGCGCCTCAATCACATAGGCGTCATCCTGCAAATGACCTAAACTGTTATAATATTGTTGCAGCTGAGCCAAATGCTGCGAATTCATGGGAACCTGCCCGCCTTGAGCCAGCAGTACCTGCAAGAGGCCAGGAGGGGAACTCAAGGTTAAGGTTGCAGGCTGAGCATGTCATTGGCTACTGTTCAAGGGTCTAGGACAGAGGTGTGAGCCACATGGATCAAACATGGTTGAAGAGAGCACAGTGCGCTGACAACGCCATACACAAACATCAACTCAACAAGACACTATTGAAGGTGAGGTTTTGCCTCAATGTTTAATATAATAGTCCCAAGAGGTAAAATATCACCTTAAAAGAGTCAACAATTAACTTGATGTTCTGACCCATGGATCAAACATGTTAGCAACATGTCAGTGGACTTTACAGTTAATAGTGGACTGATTGATTGGGGAGTTGAAAATAATACAAATGGGGAAATCAAAATGATAAAGCCCGATACATTTTATCTCGTCTTAAAAAATAAAAATAAAATTCCAGTAACAAATATTGAAGTATTGGGTCTTCTACAGGAGTAGCATTCACAACAGAAGTACAATTTCTGGTACATGAGTATGTCCTCCATCTGGGTTAGACACAATCTCTCTCCACTACGTCATCTGGAAACCACCTTCACTTTTAGTACTCGACCTCAATCTTAAGACGAGTAACATTTTCTACCTTGCATTACTACTGTTTCCACTTCAGAAATATCTTACGACATGAGCAGTGGGTGTGGTTGGTACAGGATGTGTAGTGGGTACAGTGGTGTGGTTGGTACAGGATGTAAAGTGGGTACAGTGGTGTCGTTGGTACAGGATGTGTAGTGGGTACAGTGGTGTCGTTGGTACAGGATGTGTAGTGGGTACAGTGGTGTCGTTGGTACAGGATGTGTAGTGGGTACAGTGGTGTCGTTGGTACAGGATGTGTAGTGGGTACAGTGGTGTCATTGGTACAGGATGTGTAGTGGGTACAGTGGTGTGGTTGGCACAGGATGTGTGGTAGGTATAGAGGATGCAAACGTTGTATCGATTGCCTGGAAGTAGTCTGGCTGGATACATCAAGTACCTACGCAAGTATTTACAAACCTATACATCATTTCTCAATATTTGCGGGCATCGTTTTAATTTAATAAACAGTTTGAGCTTCGAAGCACTAGAAGGTTGTTGATAACAATCACACTTGATTGGGAGGTTCTGATGCTCTTAAAGTATTTAATAAATGTAAATAAAGCTGCCAAAGACCGAGAAAAGACGTAGAGGTTTGTAAGTACAGTACTTGTGTAAATATTGAATCCTGGCCCTACTTTCTAAACAATGTTCTTATATTTGCCAGCACTCCATATGCTACCAATGTAGTCCCGTTTTGTGCCTCCGGTTTAAGTGTCTGAATTATATCCACTCCCAGATCCTTCTCTTTCCGATTCCTGTAACCGACTTCCTCATATGGTGTAAATGCCTTTTGATCTCTTCCCTTTCCCATCTTCATTGCCTTACATTTGTTGGGATTGAATTCCAGCAAACATTTGTTTGCCCACTTCTGGAGTTTTTCTTGTGCTACATAGCCTTCCTGGTTTGGTGCCTTCTTTTGATAATTACTTACTTCTGGAGTTTCTCAAGATCCTTTCTGACACTCCCCGCAGACTTTGTCCATTTTCACATTCCTCATCAGCTTTGCACCATCTGCAAATGTTGACATGTCTGATCGAGATCACTCCCTCGAGTAGGTCATTCATATAAATTAGGAACGGCAGCAGTCTCATAACAAGAGCCTTGTGGGACACCACTTGTTACATTCCTCCAGTATGAAATCTCCACTCTGATTGTTACGCTTTGCTTTCTGTCCTTCGGATACTCCCTCACCATGTTCAGTGTTTTCCCAGACCCCAGCCTGTTTCTCACTCTTGTACAATAATCTTTCATGGGGAACATTGACAAATGCTTTTTTAACAGTCTATAAAAAATAGTCTACTCCAGCCTTCCTCTTCCTGTTTTGTTTTTAGTAACCTTGTCTTAAAACTCAATCAAGTTTATCAGGTAAGACTTCCCATTTCGAAATCTATGCTGATATTTTTCGTCACATAGTTGATCCTTTCAAGATGCTCCACCATTCTCAACCTGATTACTTTCTCCAACACTTTACAAGTAATACTTGTCCATGACACTGGTCTGTAGTTTAGTGCCTCCATTCTATCCCTTTTTTAACTTCAAAATAAATTTGATACCTAATTCACCCAAATCTTCAGTACTAATGTATGTACAAGTTCTTACTTACCTTCACTGATGACTCTTGTTGGCGTATGGAAGACGGTGAGTAGGGGGGAGGAAGAGAGGTATTAGTGTTTGGAAAGAGTCCCCCCTTCCATTATAACATCAGGCAGTGATGACTTTTCTGGGGTACTCTCTCTCCTACGTTTTGCAGGCATACCATTAGGACCTGCTTGTGCCTCACTGCTTGATTTTCTCACTATAAAACGATCCATAGAGGATTGTCTTTCCTTCGTTGTAACACTTGTCTATAGTGAGGCATCATATTGTCATTAAAAAGGTTAATGCAACGGCCTACTACAGCTTGGTCTGGGCGAGTCGTTTCAACAAAGGTTTGCATTTCTTCCCACAGCCTACATCACTTCCTAATTGTTGAGGAAGAGACATTCTCTACTGCCTCCTCCTCCTGTGAAGATATTTCCCCAACTGTCACTTGTTGCTGCTCTTTGTGGTCATTTTCACATGTGTTTTCTTGGCTTGAACCTTACCACTAGCTTTCTTGGGACCCATGGCAAGATATATAATAATAAATTTTATGTTCAAATAGCAAAAAATCCGAAAAAACTAATTCTTTACAAAGATTTCAGGCACAATTGTCACTAGGTGGGAGGCCTTGGTAAACTGAGTCGCAATCGCTGTGCCACCATGCGCTAGGTCAGCCAATACGCATATCAACAAACTCTTTTCCCGAGGCAAAATTCGTACCCCCGATTCAAATTCTCCAAAGAAATTGGACTCGTAACCCAAAAAGTTCATAGAGTGCATTCGTAAGCAGAGGTGTCACTGTATTAGTAAAACAGCTCTAGGGAGCCATCAGGGCTCACTGAGAAATTGGCTTTTTATTACATGTATTGCTGGCTTTTTTTCATCCACCTCTTTGACGGGTATGAACTGTTCTATTGCAGCTGCACATTTACCAGCAATGAAATCAATCGTCTCATTTGCTGTCTTTCTTTACATTTCTCTTTCCCTTTGGATTTCCCGCAGAAAGTCCCTCATCATGTTTTAGTCCCCACGTCTGTAATCACCTCTTCAATGGGTTTCTTTGTGTAACCAATTCCTTCAGCTCCTCTATGTATTCAAGCATGATAATGCAAGGGTCATTAATTTCTAGCAGCATTTCATACTATCTCCTTCAGTGGTTATAATAGGAGATGCCTCGTATGGGCCAATAGGCCTTCTGCAGTTCTCATTATTACTACTATCCCCTACACCTTACTTTCCTCCTCAGCTCTCTCTTGCCTATTTATTGCCTGTCTCTACCTCCTCATCACAATCGACTTGAGAATGGTCCAGGACGGACTGAAACGTCGTCGTCCCTTCAACTTCTAGTGTGTGGTCTGGTCAGCATTTTATACTCTTTATTCTTTCAACATTTGCTTCATTTTGGGGAAACACCAGGTGTAGTGTTGTTGGTTGTGACATGTTGCTTTAAGAAGTGTTTGTCAGCCATGTCCACCAGTTTTGCTCTATGTTTCATCACCCCCCCCCCCCATGGGTATCCTTATTTATCCAGTTATTGCTTTAAGGATGAAGACCCCCACCTAAACCTGGCAGTTTGAAAAGAGCCACAGTTTTTATCACTGATAGCACAAAAGTATGGTACAACTATGAACTGCTTTATCAAACAAATATATTTATTAACGATACAAAAAAAGCTACAACTAACTACAAATTCTTTCCTTTTAGTCACGATACATCTTATCTTTAACCTAACCTAATCTTTCAAACAATTTAAAAAAAAAAGCTTTGTGAGCTGCAGTAAAATTCAAGAACCAGAGTTAAAACACCGCTTTAAAATACATAAACAATTAAATTTTATACATTTTATATATAACAACCCACTACTGCATTGAGAAAAAAACAGCATTGAATGTACAGTAATGAAACACCATTTTCTGGGCGAGACCCGGAGGCTCCTCGGAGCTTATCCAGGCTGATATGATAATGTCAGACTTTGGCATCAGTCATGTGTATGAAGTTCTGTGGGTCTACCGGGGACCACAAGCCAGAACCTGGCCCCATCAGAGAGGCATGGGGAAGCAATGGCCTATAGAAATCCCCGTGTGGTTGGAAACATTCTATGTCTGCCATCGACCGGATCAGGCACCCAGAAAGGTAAGCGCCCCAATACAAAATCCTATTCTGGTGAAAATTGCTACGAAAAGCAGAACAAGTGGATAGAACTCCCCAAAAAGAAACGAGCAAACGAGCATGACGTCACACGTCATGCTCTCCTCACATGCAGGGGTTTCTGCTCCTCACATGAAGGGGTTTCTGCTCCTTCGGTCGTGGCGATAGGTTTGTTCATCTGCAGCCATCTCTCTTTTCTGGCAAAAAATGAGACTGCTGCTTTCTGGAGAGGTCCATGGGTTGTTGATGCTTGGTTGGTTAGGCCAGGGGTGCATCATGTTTTGTGTCCGGTTGGGGCCCTCCACCGTTATTTGTGCACCACGGCTTCTGTGTCCGGGGACGCGCTTTGGGTTGATCCAGTTTCCCTTCTTCCCTGTTCACGGGTGCGGGTCTCCCAGGTTGTCCGCAGGATTACTAAGGCTAGCCAGCCTGCGGTCTATTCCTGTGCCCATGACGTTCGTAAGTTCGCTGCTCTTGCTGCCGTTTTTGGCAACATGTCCTGGGCTGACATTCGGGCGAAGGGATTTTGGCCGTCAAACAGGGTCCTGGCTGCTTGATATCTCGTGAACTCTCCTGGGCCTAGTCGAGCCTGTGTCACTTTGGGTCGGCGGTCGCAGCCAGTTTTCTCAACTTTGAGTTGAGGAGTGAGCAGCGACCGCCTCCTGGGTAAGTCCCCCTATTTTCCTCTGTGGGTAGTTAGCTCTGGGAAGCCCCTATCTCCGGGGAGACGTAGGGGCTCCCCTCAGAAAACCAGCATTGAATGTAATGAAACTTCATTTTCTGAGCGAGACCCAGAGGCTTCCCGCCCCTTCCCCCTCCCGATCGGCGGTTTTTCGCATGTTTTGATGTCCAGCCTAAGAACTGAAGGATGGATGGCCTGCGCGAGAGTCTGGAGCTCCTCCTTCCCCCTCCCGGGAAGGGGGAAGCTGCGCAGACAGCGGCGCGGCGACGTGTGATGTCACGCTAATTTGCTCGTTTCTTTTTGGGGAGTTCTATCCACTTGTTCAGCTTTTGGTAGCCATTTTCACCAAAATAGGGGTTTGTTTTGTGACGCTTACCTTTCTGGGTGCCTGACGCGGTTCATGGCAGACATAGAATGTTTCCAACCACACGGGGCTTTCTATAGGCCATTGCTTCCCCATGCCTCTCTGAGGGGGCCAGGTTCTGGCTCGTTGTCCCTGGTAGGCCCACAGAACTCCATACACATGACTGATGCCAAAGTCTGACATTATCATATCAGCCTGGATAAGCTCCAGGGGCTGATGGGCTCCCCCCAGAAAAGAAATATAAATTGAACATTCCAGTTCAAGCAGAAACCCTCTTAAGCAGTTCCAGCTTGGGATCAAAATATTAAAGTTTGTATTTCTTTTGCGGGTTTTATCACAGTGATTATATATTACATGTACAGTATATTATATATATATAATAAAATGTACTCTACGTATGTGGTAGACAACGAGTTCACAATAATCTTAGTTTATTTTCTCTAGCATTAAAAATTTGAAAATTAATTCAATGATTTTATTTTCTTGCCAATTAACCGAGGTAGAGTCAGCAAGAAACAAGATAGAGAACAATTAATAATAAAATGAGACCCGGCTAAAGAGTTAAGAGTGTACTCTCTTGACCTTACACATACTGTACTGGTACATTTAACTGGCATATGTGCATCAAGGTGGGCCACACCACTCACAATGCTCTTAAAGATACCTTTCAAAAGTTTTCTAAGTGTGCATTTATTACAGTGTACAGACATTCACCTTTAACCAAACCAGTCCTAACTGACTGCTCTCTTATAACCTGACTGGCAAATTTGTGTAACATACACCGCCTCTGACCCCAGTCTATACACAAAATAAAAAAAAGAATTGTAATGATCAAATCTGATGTTGGTGTTCCAGCAAAAATTTGTATAGTTATTGTAACGGCAGTGATATTACAAATTCGGATTTGTTTAAATAGACGCAATGGAGAGTTCTCAAATTCAAGGTGAAGGGACCGACACTTGAGCTAACACCAAGAGATGCCAACTGCCTGTTTTCGCTTCTCACAGTATGAAGTGCAATACCAGTTGTTCTTCAAACACAATAGCCTCCTATCACACTATGTATACTGCTACTCATGTTAATTTCTTTATGGACTTTTTTCCTTTCTTGTGTTTTTCCTCTAAAGTCCTCCATAACATCCAACACTCTCTAATTTAAGCTCACTGACTAGCTTCTAATGCTTATTGTCTGATTGTTACTCTCAGCATCAAACACACACACGGTATGTAACAAGTACATAACACTTATCTTGATCACTTTATAGGTCATATAACTTTTAAGAACACCTCTCTCAATCTTTGTAATGACCCAAGCTTTGTTTTCACTGGGCAGCTGGAATTCTTGAATGACAGTACTTGTTTTAGCCAACCATGAAACCAAGTAAAATTTGTTATGACTAATAGAGGAATGTGAGGACACTCCCTGAATGCCTCCCTCACATAACGTATAGTTTGAGTGCAAATGACAACCACTGCCATGTGTCTAACTCAGTGACTGACCTGGCAAACTGGGTCTATCACTTCTATTAATTTTAACACTTTCGTCCTCCGGGGACGTAGTTGACGTCCACAAATAACTCTGCAGATGTCCGGCGGGAACGCATGTGGCGTCCAAAATTAAACTGTGTTAAAATTCTATTTGTTTTCCAACCATTATGGGATTAGTTTTAAAATGTGCACTTTTAGTTTGCGAACCATTTGATACCAGAATGAACGACATAGTATGAAAATTGAGGTGAGAAAACTGAACAGAGTGAACATATTTCAGTGTGACTGAGGATGGGTGCTTGCTCATGGGTAACGCTCAAGAGGATTTTTCTAGTTTGCTGCGGGTAGCACTCCTGTTTATTTTTTTCTTATACACATACTGTATATCCCTTTAGAAAATTCTATTGCAAACAAATGGATACCAAAATGAACGACATAACACAATAATTGACGAGAAAACTGAAAAGAGTATAAACATTTTAGTGGTTGCACGCTCTCTCACGGGTAACACTGCCGATTTTCGGGTTTGCTGCCACGCTTTTGGGTGGTACGCCAAGCATTTTTTACTTTATTTGCATACAGTGGTACCTCGGAATGCGATTGTCCCTGTATGCGAGGTTTTCGGAAGGCGAGGTGTATTTACTCCAAAAATTTGTCTCGGAAGGCGATGGTTACTTCGGGAGGCGAGTTTGGACGCGAGTTTGTTGATACGCGTACAGCCGACCTAGCGCGCGGTGGTTCGGCGATCGTCGCCCCGCCGCCCCTCAGTTTATTATTGTCTCGCGCTCAGTGACTACCCCCACATCAATTCTTCTCGCGGATTTTCAGTGTTTTGTTGGATTTTTGGTGATTTGTCTATACAATTTGTTATTATATATCTCACCATGGGTCCCAAGAAAGCCAGTGGTAAGGATAAAGGCCAGAAAGCTCATGTGAGGATGACAATAGAGGAGAAACAAGAGATCATTCGGAAGCATGAGAACGGTACACGTGTTGTTGAACTTTGTAGGCAGTACAACAAAGCCACATCAACAATATGCACTATACTTAAGAAGAAAAATAAGATTATGGGTGCTAAAGTGGCAAAAGGAGTAAGAACATTAACGGCACAAAGACCACAAATACTTGAAGAAGTGGAAAAGTTTTTATTAATTTGGATACACGACAAGGAGTTGAGGGGTGATAGTGTTTCGGAGGCCATTATTTGTGAGAAAGCCAGGGTGTTGCACGAAGACCTTCTAAAGAATACCCCTGCAACGAGTGATGCAGATAAGAAAGAGTTTAAGGCAAGCAGGGGCTGGTTTGAAAAATTTAGAAAGAGAAGTGGTATCCATAGTGTTACAAGGCATGGGGTTATGTGATGTGATTATGGAAGGGGACTCCCCTTCCAAACAGTAACTCCTCTCCTCCTCCCCCCTCCTCACCATCTTCCATACGCCTACAGCACTCGACAGCAAGGTAAGTAATAACTGGAACACAGTTTTGTAGGTTTATTTAGATGAATTAGGTAAATTAGGTATAAAAATTTAGTTTGATGTGGGGTTTTTGGGGTAGTCAGGAACGGATTAATTCATTTCCCTTTATTTCTTATGGGGAAATTAACTTCGGAATGCGAGTTTTCGGAAGGCGAGGCGTCTCCAGGAACGGATTAAACTCTTATTCTGAGGTATGCCTGTATATCCCTTTAGAGAATTCTATTGCAAACAATTTGATACCAAAATGAACGAGGTAACATGAATATTGTCGTGAGGAAACTGAAAAAAGAGTACTGTATACACATTTTAGTGCGAGCGCACGCTCATGGGAAACACTCGGCCCACCTTGGGGTGGGCTAGAGTGCTCATGCCGGGGCGAAAGTGTTAAGGATCTTATGCAGACCAAAGTTTCCCCAAGTTGCCAGGGGAATGTAATCACATTATATCTTTTTTCCTAAACCACCGACAGACCATTCAGAGAATTTATTTGGATAAAAGGTGAATGACTATACAGTGTTTATTAATTCCAACTAGAATATTAAAGTTAGTGCTAATTTTTTTTCTAATTTATGCCAATTTAATAAAGTTTTGCAAGAATACATTACCGAAGCTTAGCCCAACTTCATCTTATACCAGAGTATTCAATAGTCTAGCTACAAAACGAGAACATAAATGTTTGACAGTATACCTTCGGACTGACCTGCTGCAATGCAGTGATGTATGCCGACTGCAAGCCTTGCGCCGGCACACCACCTGTGATAGCTTGAATGGCATTTTGAATATTAAGGTTCGACACTGCTGTTGCAGCTGTGTTTGTGGATGTTCCCCGTGCAGTGACTGTTTGGACTGTAGTACTCGATGACTGAGCTACTGCTGCTGCGAGATTACCCTGGTTCTTTAGCAATGTATTGGTGTCGATGATTATTACATTTGGATCCTTCGACTTTAACTGCGAAAAAATTTTGCTTTTGTAAATACTGTATAGAACAATATAAAAATAAATCTTATGCTATTTCCTTCAAACTACAGACTGTAATGAATAACACATGAATTACAATTAAGTAATTAATGATAAAAATATTGTGCACAAGAACCTTGACACTGGAGCTATAACTTAAAATACACTGTACATCAAATAAAAACATCACATTGTGTTTGCATGACATCTAACTGAATATACAATTTATATTACAATATAAATTAGCAGCACAATTCCTCATTTATTTTGCTGCATAACCTAAGTCTATTGTATAAAGCCCTCTGTTGTGTACCCTCATTACTGTCCAAGGACTGGGATGGAAGTAATGAAGGTGTAGACACACCTCCCACAGTCAGGTATTTTCAATTACAGACAACTGTACAACATGCAGATCTGTGAACCCGATAAACCCAGAGAAAGCCGGGAACACAAGATCCAACAAAGGGCAAATGGGGCCCGAACCAGAATTCTCCAAAACCAAACTCTACCCACGGGACAACACCATGCAGGCAAAGTACAGGCTCCCACAAAACCCACTCAACCAACTGCAGAGTCCCTCAGAGCCAGTCAAACCCCAGAAGGATACAGTGCTGCCAGTGGAGCAGAACCTCTAGGGGGCAGAAAAATAGAAGCCATCCAGGTCCAAACCTGGGTTGCAACCAACAAGAACTTTTACCAGCCTACCAGGATTGTGGACTTGACAAGCTGAGAAAATGTCAGAACCCTGGCTTAACAGTGTGCAGACTGGCTGGGAACCCAAACCAGCCAATTAACAAGTGACCAAATCACAAGCCTCATCAATGAACTCCAAACCAGTCCTGGAACAGGAGGTGAATAAGAATATACCATGATGCATCTATGAGGCGACCCTTGATGATTCTGAAATGAACAAATCCACAAGGGCCGAGACGAGGATTCGAACCTACGTCCGAGAGTATCCCAGACGCTGCCTTAATCGACTGAGCTACGACATAGTATAAGACATGGGCCACATCACGGCCCATGTGGATTTGTTCATTTGATGCATCACGCTATTGTGATTTCTGTGTGTAATGAAGTAAGGGCAAAAAGGTAGAATGGCCTATAGACATAGCTCGAGTGCATGGGGCGAACTATGTAAAATCCTGGTTTGTGTCTCGGAGAGGCTGCAGGATCCAAGTAAATTCGGTGGAATTTCTAGTTGCAATTCTTATCCATGTCGTAGCCCAGTCGATTAAGGCAGCGTCTGGGATGCTCTTGGACGCAGGTTCGAATCCTCGTCACGGCCCTTGTGGATTTGTTCATAACAATTTTATGTATTTTAGCCAAATTAATTCTGCTCCTCTTTGTCCTAATGAAGAGCTGCAGGTAATACTATTCATACCCTAATTCTTTACATCCTCTGTCCTTCAAATTTTGTCTAAAATTTTATTTGAAATTGTCATTAGATGGATATCTATCAGTAGAACCTGAATACAGAGAAATTTCACAATAAACCCACCTCCTTTCCCACCCTCTAACACTGTCCAACATGCATCTCCAGGTGGGAGTCGGACACGACCTATATCTGGCACAACCCATCTTTCAAACTGACGGTACGTTTTAATACCAAGTGTAATAAGTACATTTACTGACTGCCATACATAGTACTGTACTGTACATAATTGCACTTATGGGGCTGTTACATTTACCTCCCCATTTTTGGAGGACGGGCTGATCTGGCAAGATCTCCCCAGGATCTTGTGCTGTTGCTCTAGGCATTTTACATTGCTGATAATTACTGTGAGCGGCTTGCACGCCAGTCCTAGCCTAGCTGCACACAGTAGTGGTCCAACCTTTAACTCGGACAAGGTGTTTTATTGTGTCTATGCATGCTGTATATGTTCTCTGTATTACCTATATTTTGGCAAGTTCTCCTGCTCTGAAGGAAGGAGCGAGTATCGAGCAGTACTCGAGACAGGACAGCACAAGTGATTTGAAAAGTGCAAGCACTATGATGGGATCCCTGGGTTTGAAGGTTCTCATAATCCATCCTATCATTTTTCCAGCTGATGCTATTTGCTTGATTATGCTCCCTAAATGTTAAATCTTCAGACACCATTATTCTCAGATCCTTTAAATGTTGCTTTCCTACTAAGGGCACATTTGTGTTTTAAACCTTGTATTTTATGATCTTAATTTCTACCATACCTAAGTACCTGGAATTTATCAGTTAAACATATTTTCCGCTGAAAAATAAAAAACTTTATTCATATCATACTTTTACAGAAGTACATTTCATGCTGCATTTTGTGTCATCTGCAGAACTGACATAAGGCTGTGACTTGTATTTTTGTCTGTATTTGATATCAAGAGTAAGAAAAAGCAGTGGTGCAAGGAATGTGCCTTAAGGCACAGCTTTTAACTGTGCTTCGACTCTACTTGATATGACTGATTGTTACCCTTTGCATTCTGTTTTTCTTCTAATGCATCAGTGATTTTGTCGTAGTGGTCAAGTGGCTGTAAAAGGCATGATCTTCCCACTCCAAATCCATGTTGGCCTGGGTTGTGGAGTCCACTATTCTCCATAACACAGGAGATCTGACTCCTGATCACTCTCTCAAACACTTTATGTGAAATGTTAGTGAAACTGGTCTATAATTCTTTGCCAATGTTTTGCTCCCTCCTTTGTGTAGCGGCACAACATCTGCTGATTTAAGCACTTCTGGCATATATGTTCCCAGTATCCAAGCGTTTTCTCCACATAATACCGAGTGCTTGTGCTACTGACAAGCATTTCTTTACAAATATTGTATTCCGTGAGTCTGGAGCCAGGGATGAGTGCATAGGCATGCTCTCAATCTCTCTCTCAAAATCTGCAGAGTTCATGTTGATAAGTTATATTTTCAGGGGCTTGAATATCGTGCATAAAGAACTTGTTCAAATCGTCCACTTTCATACTGTTTACCGGGGAGTTAAACTTGTCCTCAACCTTCTTTTTTACGAATTTAACTAATTTCTTTTTTGTTCTGTGTGTGAACCTTCACTTGTAAGTATAGTACTGTGTAGGTCCAATACGGATGGAGATTTTGTATTTTGATTTCATGCATGTGAAGAAATATTTAGGATTTTTCTTTATCTCTTATATGACTTTGTTCTAATTGCATATCTTCAATCTAATATTCATGCTTCAGTCTGTTCTATTTCTTCAACCGCCTTGTTTATATTATTCTTTCTTTGTAGGGATTTTCTTGTCTGTATACATGCATTTCCATTATATTTTTGTTGTCTGTAGTGCCCTCTGCGTTCTCTTTCTGGCTTTCCTCAAAGGAACATATTTCAGACACTTTATATGCTTCGGCAGTCAGTTGTTCAATTCCTTACATGCGATTTTTACTACTTAGAACAATTACAATAGAGACAAACAGATACCATTCTGAGTGAAGTGCCATGTGACCCAATTTGATTTTGTAATTGATATATGTCCATATGTTTAAAAGATGAATGATCCAGCCTCTCAGAATTGTTAGACCATTATAACATGGTCTTGGATGCCATGGAAAACGAGCAAAACCTGAAAGTAATACTGTATTCTGGGTACACACACTTTGCAGAAAACAACTTTTGACAAATGCAACTATGATGTAATTGCATCCAAATAATGCATACAAAAGAAATAACTGTCAAGTAAAAAGGTAGATTTATAGTTTTCCAATGAGCAGAACCAAACCTTGATTGAAAAGAAACCTTGCAGTTTCCTTGCTTTGATTCCGGGGCGGTCAAGGTCCCCGCAGCCCGGTCTCTGACCAGGCCCACTGGTTGAGGGTCTGGTAAACCAGGCTGTTGGACGCGGCTGCTCACAGCCTGACGTATGAATCACAGCCTGATTGATTAGGTATCCTTTAGAGGTGCTAACCAAGTTCTCTCTTGAACACTGAGGTGGGTCAGCCAAATTATGCCCCTCATTATGTGTTATGCCAGTTATGTGAAGTGGAAGCATGTTGAAGCACCCAAGACTGCATGCAGTCTTGGGTCTCTGATGTTGATAGAGTTCTCTCTCAGTTCCTATTGCACCTCTGATTTTCAACAGGGACTATTCTACACATCCTGCCATGCCTTGATCTTATATGATGTTATTTCTGCATGCATATTTGGAACAGCCCCCCTCTAATATTTTCCATGTGTAAATTATTATGTATCTCTCTTGCCTGCACCCTAGAGAATACAGATTTAGGCATTTTAGTCGGTCTCAGTAATTTAGATGGTTTATCGAGTGGATTCTGGCAGTGAAGGATTTCTGCATGCTCTCCAGGTCAACAATTTCTCCAGCTTTGAAAGAGGCTGTTATTGTGCAATTGTATTCCATTCTAGAGAGCACTAGTGTCTTGTAAAGTAAAGTATCATCATTGATATGGCATCTCTTGTTTGAAAGGTTCTTATCACACTTGTCATTATTCTTGCAGCTGTGACAGCTACTGTATTGTGTTCATTAAAGGTAAGGTCTTCTGCCATGATTACACCCAAATCCTTTACATTGCTTTTACATTCTATGGTATGATTTAACTGTTTTGTACATGGTTTCCATTTTTATATTTTTATTTTTCCATACCCTAAAAAGTAACAGTGAGCAGAGCAAACCTGGATCATCCAACATGAAAAACAATCTCCCAGGGTACACCCTTTCTTATGTCCTACATAGACAATTATAGATAATTTTCTTCAAGCAGTGCCGGATTAACCTGGCTGTGGTGGATATGTGGGCCTGCGGGCCGCTCCAAGCATCAGCCTGTTGGACCAAGCTCTCACAAGTCGAGCTTGGCCTCGGGTCGGGCTTGGGGAGTAGAAGAACTCCCAGAACCCCATCAAGCAGGTATAATACTGTAGTAACATGTCATCATCTGCTGATGACTCTGGGATTTTTACGAATAGAAACCACTGACGACACAGCGCACCTCCAAACTAATGAGGATAACGTGGCTGAAGATATGATGACCAAACTAAAGTAAATCATATCTTTTAATGGGCCACAATATATAGGGTATAGGGTAAAAGTCATCAATGTACGCCTTCAATTTATAAGCTTAGTGATAGTTTTTTGTGTATGTCAAAGTTTCCTTGTTGAAAACTCAAAATGATTTAATAGCACATTTATAAAGGGTATAATTTTCCTTATTAGAACTGGAAACAAAATTAGAAAAAACACAGATCAACAAGGAAACAACTCATTGACGAAAAAAAAACAGTGTTGAACGTAACAAAACGCCTCAGGATGACGAGCTCTGGTGGCACCCTGAAACCATCTTGCCGAGATGGCTCCCAACTCTAGGTCACAACAGCCGCGGATCTCTGTTTGCCCTCCCTGGGACCAGAGTCAGAACTTGGTCTCCTCAGAGGTGGTGTCATTCCACCACTCCACTGAGAAAGCATCCAGAAAGTCAGCGAACAAATTCTTTCCACTGTCGAGTTCAGAGACTCGAAACTGCCAAAAACTCTTCAAACAATACAAACAATTGAATATCTCAAAATTAGCTTGATCTCGTTAGCACCAAACCCCCACCAGTATAGGTGGAGTGGTGCCAGAGCTCCAGGTCTCCCTCAGCCCCAAGCAAGTTATGCAGTGGATGTGAAGATTACACAGACCAACCAATGAACCTAGAAGGGAGGGAGGGAGGTAGGGAACCAGGGAGCCGCTGGGGTCCAGCCAGAAAGTGGCATTTCATTACATTCAATGCTAGTTTTCTGGGGAATTGCCGTGTGGCTCCCAGAAGCTAACTACTCATGGAGAAGAAAAACAAAGAGAATTACCAGGGAGGAGACAGCAGGTACTGTAATCAAAACAGAGACAGCTGATCGAGAGAGATGACCCAAGACTACACAGGCATGATGAGGCCTTGGAACATTATTCAAATATTGGACCACTAAGACCCTGTTTAGACTGCCAAAACCCCCATGTTCGAATATCAGCTCATAACATGTTAGCAATGTTGAGCAATCAACTTGAGAATGGTCCAGGACGGACCAAAACGTCGTCGTCCCTTCACCTTCTAGTGTGTGGTCTGGTCAACATACTTTAGCCACGTTATTGTGACTCCTCGTCTGTACATGTGTTAGCAAAGGGTGTTAGCAAAGACCACCACAAGAGCAGCATACTTATGGACCTAAGTGGTACAAAGTTAGACTGCAGGCTGGTTGAACTTAAAATGACATTGGGGAAGACCTGAAACATACAAGCCTTGGAACAGGGAACAACGGAAGAAGGATCAACCCACAAAGGAACTACCGAGCCAGAATCGGTGGCATGAAGGTAGCGGCATAAGGCCGTCACCAGGCACAGCACATCATGTAAAATAGCTGAACCAATCAAGCATTAACAACCAAGGCCCACCAGGGCAAAAAGAAAAACCATGTCTCATAGGGAAAGAGCACGAAGTCCCTGACCCTACAACCAGAAGTGCGCTACAGGACAAAGGAGAAAATAGGAAAGAACATGGTCAAAAGACCAGAAGGGCTTAGATGACACCGAGCAGGCCAAAGGTGAAACATTTCATGGTACAGCCTCCGAAATGGTGTCATGGTAGTATCAACACCAAATGCAAGCAGTAGAGCACCACCCCCCCAAATAATAAGAGGCAACAGTATTAGGCATAAGATGCCATTTAAAAAACAACTAAGTTATAAAGAAGAGCACAACATGAATGGAGACAGAAGAATGACAACAAAGGCACAGATAGTAGCAAAAAGGGTGCCAAGCAACTTCATACTGCTGCTAGGAAAACAAATGCAGGTGGAACACCATCAATTCAACCACTTGCTTGCCATGTAGATGATAAAGATGCATCAAAAAGACCAGACGAGAAGAGCTGAGAAGTTGGAACCAGCTAGGTACATCACCAGGCCGATCCCCTGAAAGAGATGGAGCCACAGAATAACGTCCGGGTTCAGATAAAGTACAATCAGTACCTGAAACCAAAGTTCAGCAGTCACCAAGGAAACAAAGGGACCAAGGAACCAGTGCTAAAGAAACCTCCATCATGACCAGTCGAGCCGAAAGGAATTGAGGAATGAAGCCACAGAGAGAAAGGTGCTAATTTCAAGCCGACACAAAGTGATCCATGTTGAGGTGCTTGAATGTCTTGCAAAGCCACTTGAAGGAACCAGCATCTATGGTCCACTCCGTGGAAATGAGAAGGTAGCGAGAGACTGTCCACAAGAATGTTGAACACTACCCGGACATGCACAGCAGAGAGAACCAAACTCCAGTAGTAGAATCCAGTAGACAAGCTACCCGAAGCATCCAGCTCCAAAAGGCAATGTACCAAAGGGAACCCCACCCTCACAGTTCAGGCAATAGACTGAAGGGAACTCCCTCATTTCAGGCAACGAACCTGGAGAGCAGTCCAAATGAAGCCTGAGCACAGAAACCCAAGGAATCTGAATCCTCCTCAGAGCATGACACACAGCCACAAACTTGTGCGCCGTACCGGGCGCTTTGATGGAACGGACCTGACCAATGTCCCTGGTGAACATGGGTTACATAGCCCCAGCCCAGAGCCGAGGCATTCATAAATACATCTAGTGATAGTGGAGGAAGGCGAGAAGGAACTGAACCCGGAAAAGCAAGAAGAGGAAGCTGATAACACAGCAGCCAACAAAGGGCAATTGGGACCCAAACCCAACGATCGCAGCAGTGGTCAAAGGGACAGAGCATGGGAATCCAAAACAGCCCCTAAAGCCACACCCTGCCCAGAAGGAAGATCATGCAGATAAACACACAGAAATCACAATAGCGTGATGCATCAAATGATTTGTGGATTTGTCCCTTGTGGATTTGTTCATGCAGATAAAGTTCAGACACAAATGCCCAAGCAAATGCAGTCCACCTGGAGCCATCTCTGGTCCCAGGTCTAAGCAGGGTGGTGAAAATTGAAGGCAGAGACATGAAAATTATTTCATGGACTCCGCAAGGATAAAATGGTTGAGGAACACTGTTCTAGACAGAGGGATATAGGGCCCCCTCCCCCCCCCCTTTGTTTAACCAGGAACTTGAATGAAATACAGGGTACAAGACACAATCAGACTTATAGAAGAAAAGCAACATGTAAGAGATCTGGGAATTATGATGTCTGAGGACATGATATTTAGTGAACATATGCCAGAAAATGATAGGAAGGATTATGAGAATGTTCAAATCCAGATATCCCACAGCAATGCTAATACTCTTTAAATCACTGGTGCTGTCCCATCTTGAGTACTGCTCAGTACTCACTTTTCCCTTTAAGAGCAAGGGAGATTTCTGAAGGGAATTCAGAGAACCTATACGGCACGCATTAGAAATGATGAAAGGTCCAAATTATTGGTCTATATAAGAGCTCATATTTATATCCATCCAAACACATTTAAGTATGTACATGTCTAGCTACACTTGAAACTATCCAGCAATCATACGTTTATTATGTTACCCAGTAATTTATTTAACCCTTACAACACAGCTCCAAAAAGCCTATAGGACCTGCACTAATGCACAAAACAAAACCACAAAAAATGTTAGGAATTTTCAAAATATACAACAAAAAGTATTGAATATGAAAAATATCCAACAGAAACTTGTTTACAAAATATTGCAATATTAATTTGTCCACAATTCATTGCTAGTTCTTATGAATAAAATAAGGTTATTTTTTGTATCATATGATTTAGATTAATATTTAATTTGTTTTCTTTTGTTTTTTTGGTATATATACACAGTCCCTAAACTACAGTGGTGCCTCAATTAACGAATTTAATCCGTTCGTCACCGAGCTCGCCATATGAAACTCTTGTCTAGCAAAACAACAACAACACAGTCGTCAGAGGCGTCCGAGAACCAGCGGGAACGTTAGGAAGCACCATGTGGTTTGCTCATTAATCATGTGAAAGCTCGTCAATCAAGACATTTTCTGCAAGTGGCTCGCTCGTTACTTGAAATGCTCGTAACTGGAGTCGTTCGTCACTCCAGGTTCCACTATACATACAGTACTGTATATGATAACACTGAGGTAGATAGCTTGATTGATACATTAAGGGTAATAAAGGTTGTCCAGAGACTGGTATCAAAATCTGGCCCTTTTCCAGTTTTTGAACACCAAAACCAATTATACATATCTCAGTCAATTACAAATGTCACCGACACATGCCAAACACACCATGTACTGTAGTTGAACATATTAACCTGTAATCACAGTAAAATCCCTCTCATGCTCTACCACAAACAAATGATCCCCAGAACCACCTCAAGGAAAACCTGAACACTGGCAAGTACTCACCTCCTTCTTATCCTTCTGTTGTAACTTCCTGACATCTGCATCACTGATAGCTAAAGGATCACTCTCTTCTATCATTTCAATGTCACTGCTATCGTCTTTGATCACTTCATTGGTTATCTTAATGTCGTCGTCGTCTTCGGTGTACTTCCTCGGCGTTCTGCGAATTCTGAGTTGCCGAGTTTCCCTCACGGGCACTTCCTTAACTTCCTGTATGTCATCGGAAGAAGTGTCCTTCGCAGAGTTTTTTGCTCTCGATCTTGGTTTACCACTAGTCTTCCCCTCAACTTTTTTTGGCTTCTCCTCTGGTTTGTCTTCTATCACATTATCCTTCTCATCATTTTTCTTTTTATCTGCATCTTTATTATCTTTTTTATTTTTATCTGCATCTTTATTTTCCTTATTTTCTGTCTCACCATTATTTTCCTTTTCCTCTTTCTCACCACTTTTGCTTTCTTTCTCTTCTTCACTTTTCTCCACATCACTTTTGTCCTTTTCAGCTTTCTCTTCCACCTTTTCACCCTTACCCTTCTCTACACTTTCACTAATAGTTTGTTTTGGCTCCTCTGTTTCTTCAGTCACTTCCATCTTCTTCTCCTCCTCCTGCTCCTCCTCATCCTCCTCCTCATCCTCATCCTCTCCATCATCATCATTGTCCTCCTCATCATCATTGTCCTCCTCCTCATCATTGTCATCCTCATCATTGTCCTCCTCATCATCCTCATCAACATCCTCAGTTTTTCCTACACACACTTCACTGGCCACTTCACTATCTACCTCCATGGGCTTTTCAGAGGAGTGAACATCATTCTGCAAGTGAATGTCGTCCTTGTCTGTGTTTCCACTCTCCTCAGACTTTCCATTTTGCTCACCTTCACTTCTTTCAAATTCATCATCTTTCTCTACATCACCATTTATTTGTGGCTTTTCTGATTCACCATTCTGTAACTTAACATCTTCCATTTCCTTCATTCCATTAATTGCTTTCACTTTCTCACCCTCTGCAGAAAGAAAAGAAAATATTTTGAGTTACATTATTCATAAAATTTAAATGTATTTTCTAACATACGTACATATATCACTGGCTACAGGCTAAGATTTTATAATTAAAATAGGCCTAAATACATTTGCAAACTGCTGTAATGTATAGAAAAAAAAGAAGTTATGTCAGCACTGGTTAACATGCCTGAAATATTGCATCTACTGTACATAAGCCCTATACTGTAAAGTAGTACACAAACCAATTTTCTTGACGCATCTTGAGCCCAAAATAAAAACTTGATTTGTTTTCTATTCATAGGTAAAGAACTTCATCACAGGCAGAAAACTCTTAAAACAATATTCCAAGTACAGAGCCCAAGAGCAGAATACTAGCAGGAAATATATAATTTGCCTTTTGAGGTCATGAAAACTGTCAGTAGTATCTTACTGTATTTTAATTTTAAGTAAGAAACTATTATGATGCCATCTTAAGACCTTACAGTGCAATGATCGGCAGGAGAAAACCTTCGTGAAAACTGCACATACTCTACAGTTGATTATGGTAGAGGGATCAGAAGGGCGCATGACTGATCAAATTCAGGTGGGGAAAAGCTAACACCTGCACGTGATCACTGTATTTTAAGATGGATGATGAACATAGATACCTTGAGAGAGAACTACATAAATGTCAGAGATGATGAATCTCTAGATTACCATCAAGACTATCAAGGCATGAGAGAGGAACTGCAAAACATCTCCTGGGGGGAGCTGACAGGGGAACATGGCATGAAAGCATCATGGCAAAATTTCAAGGTCATCACGGAACTCGTTCAAAAATATGTGCCAAAAAGAAAGAAAAAGGGAACTAGTTGGATAACACTAGTGTTAGTGGCCCTCGGGTAAACTCGGGTAGATGATCTGCGAGCAATTTTACAATGATGGTGAACATGACCAAAAGCACAGGAACCAACTCCTTCAAAATGTAGCAAGGAAGCAACAAATGTCTGTTCATCACCAAAGATTTAACATTTTAAGTACTCTATTAAAAAGAAGCAAAAAATAATTACCACCAGCTGCAGAGTCATCCAGTCCAGCAGTTGCTTCACTCTCAGACATGGTGATGGTAGAGATCCAACCTGCAAAAAATAAAATGTTACAAAAAAAATAGTGCCAAGGTCAAGAAAAATAATATAAATATTTTTACCCCCCCTATTCTCTGCTTGGAATATAGGCCTAGCTGGAGAACATTCAAATAAAACAAAGCAAATATATTATGTATAAATGCCCTGTTGACCAGACCACACACTAGAAGTTGAAGGGATGACGACGTTTCGGTTCGTCCTGGACCATTCTCGACAATCGACTTGAGAATGGTCCAGGACGGACCGAAACGTTGTCATCCCTTCACCTTCTAGTGTGTGGTCTGGTCAACATACTGTAGCCACGTTATTGTGACTCATTTCCTGCATATAAATGCCCTCTAGCAAATCCAGATGCAATGGAATGATTTAGTTACAGTATAGCATGATTATATTCAGTTCTAACCTGCGCTAAAAAATTAAAAACTTTGGCTAATTTATCTGCTAGCCCGAGTTATTTCTACAAAACATAATTCTTAACAGTTATTGCTTTAACCCTTAAACAGCACAAAACCTACACATATGATTGGACATAACATCAGTTTCTCAAACCTGCACAAACACTTTTTATTTTTATTTTTTTTTTGCATAATTAACTAGGAAATGCTCCAACTTTCTCTAAATGATCATCAACGTAACTTGAAAAACAAGAAAACCACAAATATTTTTAAAATTGAATACTCTATTGAAAACTTCAGATTTTCAGATCAGATTAAAAAATATAAAATATCACCAATTGTTCATTTGGTGTTGTTATGGTCTCAGAATAGCATATGAACTTCATTTTCATCATATTAGAATATAGGTTTTCAGTATAGTTTACTGTAAACAAAAAAATCAATGTGGCAATTGACATATGCGGCAAATTTAGACAAAAAAATGTATAACTCCAAATGTTTAGGGTTTATGAAAAATCCATTTTATAGGAATTGTAGAACAGACAGCTGTGCACACTACTGTATATGTAAAAATGGTGAGAATCATGGAGAAACTGGATTTTTTTATCTGACTCAAAGTTATCTGACTAAGAAAAGTTCCAGATCAGCCGGGCTGTGGTGGATATGTGGGCCTGCGGGCCGCTCCAAGCAACAGCCTGGTGGACCAAACTCTCTCAAGTCAAGCCTGGCCTCGGGCCGGGCTTGGGGAGTAGAAGAACTCCCAGAACCCCATCAAACAGGTATCAAGCCAGTTAAAATTTTAGTTGAAGTTATTGACAATGAATAAGGCAGTTCTAATTCATTAATTTACTTGTATGTTTTAATAAACATTGTTTGGTATTCGTACTCGAATGTGTGAAAGTTGTAGGTCAATATGTGTTCAAATGAGGTCAAGAAAAAATAATCCCCCCCCAAAAAAAAACAAAGAAATACTGTATAGGTATAGGAATAATTATAATGGTTTAGGGGATATATTTAAGGTATATTTATATAAATGAAAAAGCCTTAATCTGGTCCCTAAACATCAAAACAACCTATCAGACAAAAAAATAAGTTTGAAATCTGTAAAAAAATTAGAAAAAAAAATTCAAAGTCCCAAGTTCTGCGAGTTGAGACCGATTTATTTTTTGCCAATTTCATCCTATCTTCACATAGTTATGGACTGGTATGGACTCTCCAGGATGTAAAGGTTACAACAAAGGAGAAAACAAAACTTAAAAAAAGAAAAAAAGAATTCCCCCAAAGAATAAAAATATTTTTTGGACAGTGATGAAAGTAACAAATATTAACATTGGGCAATGTATCTACGTATATGATATATAACAAAATACAGCATAATAACATACATACATACTTATTATTATTTGTTACTGTATTTATTTATTTATTTATATACAAGAAGGTACATTGGGTTTGTGAGAATACATAGCATAGTATTTACAATCTTGTAAAGCCACTAGTATGCGCAGGGTTTCAGGCAGAATGTATGCCTGTATGTATGTATTATGTATTACTCAGCAATGCTACAAAGGCACCAGCTGCATCTCCCCTTTGTGGACACTTCTTACTATTATTATTATTATTCTTTATAAGTCAGACAGGCACTTGCATCTCTTTATTACTGCATTATCCATCACTTCAAGTTAATAGCTGTTCTCATCATCAACAAAATCTTCTTTTTAAAAAATTTGTCTAAAATTAATTTCTGAAAATATTTTGATGAAAGTTTCACGAGACTGAAGCCAATACGTTGGAGATTTGTTTAATATTTTTAAGTAATTTTTACATAATTCAAATATTTTTTGCTTCCCGGCCCCTGTTCTAGGCCGTTTAAGGGTTAAATACTGTATGTAATTGGTGAGTGTGTGGCAGTGATGATGACCTATGCATTACAAGCTGTAATAGCCGCAGGACAGGAATAAGCAAAGATAAATACACATGTACATTGCAAACACAAATTTGCACTCACAAACGTGTACTGTGGGATAAGATAATAAGAGGAATGATTGGTTTTAACATTAATGAACATAAGTGTGTTACTATTGGGCAAAAATTTGACCACCATTATATTCCTTATAAAAAATTTGCTAAACAGTAGCAGCTTTCAGTATTAACACAGGCTCCAACTACAGGTATTTTCAGCATAGTCAATCAAGTATTTTATCAAGATCAAGTACAGCATATTCAGGCTGACATAACTCAGGATAGTTATGTATTGAGTGAAGGATTACAAGGATCACAGACTGCTGTGAGGACACAAGGTGGTGACAGCTACTCATCCTCACGTAAGGTTAAATGTTTTTCCACTACCTCACTCTTTTATTTTTCCTTTATTAATATAATGAAAAAATGCATTGTGAAAATGACCTTGCACATACAATCTTACTAGTGTCCAGTACTACCTTACCTGACGATGGGTAATGTTGAACATTTATGCATTGTTAATATAATGTACATATAATGTTAGGTTAAGTAGGGTAATGTAAGGTTTGGTTCACAATTACAAGTTAGGCAAGATAAGGTTAGCCAGGGGAAGGTTAGGCAAGGGAAAGTTAGGCAAGGTAAAGTTAGGCAAGGGAAGGTTAGGCAAGGGAAAGTTAGGCAAGGGAAAGTTAGGCAAGGGAAAGTTAGGCAAGGTAAGGTTAGGCAAGATAAGGTTAGGCAAGATAAGGTTAGGCAAGGGAAAGTTAAGCAAGGGAAAGTTAAGCAAGGGAAAGTTAGGCAAGGGAAAGTTAGGCAAGGGAAAGTTAGGCAAGGGAAAGTTAGGCAAGGGAAGGTTAGGCAAGGGAAGGTTAGGCAAGGGAAGGTTAGGCAAGGGAAAGTTAGGCAAGGGAAAGTTAGGCAAGGGAAAGTTAGGCAAGGTAAGGTTAGGCAAGATAAGGTTAGGCAAGATAAGGTTAGGCAAGGGAAAGTTAAGCAAGGGAAAGTTAGGCAAGGGAAAGTTAGGCAAGGGAAAGTTAGGCAAGGGAAAGTTAGGCAAGGGAAAGTTAGGCAAGGGAAAGTTAGGCAAGATAAGGTTAGGCAAGGGAAAGTTAGGCAAGGGAAAGTTAGGCAAGGGAAAGTTAGGCAAGGGAAAGTTAGGCAAGATAAGGTTAGGCAAGGGAAAGTTAGGCAAGGGAAAGTTAGGCAAGGGAAAGTTAGGCAAGGGAAAGTTAGGCAAGATAAGGTTAGGCAAGGGAAGGTTAGGCAAGGGAAAGTTAGGCAAGGGAAAGTTAGGCAAGGGAAAGTTAGGCAAGGGAAAGTTAGGCAAGGGAAAGTTAGGCAAGGGAAAGTTAGGCAAGGGAAAGTTAGGCAAGGGAAAGTTAGGCAAGGGAAAGTTAGGCAAGGGAAAGTTAGGCAAGATAAGGTTAGGCAAGGGAAAGTTAGGCAGGGGAAAGTTAGGCAAGATAAGGTTAGGCAAGGGAAAGTTAGGCAAGGGAAAGTTAGGCAAGGGAAAGTTAGGCAAGGGAAAGTTAGGCAAGGGAAAGTTAGGCAAGGTAAAGTTAGGCAAGGTAAAGTTAGGCAAGGTAAGGTTAGGCAAGGTAAGGTTAGGCAAGGTAAGGTTAGGCAAGGTAAGGTTAGGCAAGGTAAGGTTAGGCAAGGTAAGGTTAGGCAAGGTAAGGTTAGGCAAGGTAAGGTTAGGCAAGGTAAGGTTAGGCAAGGTAAGGTTAGGCAAGGGAAAGTTAGGCAAGGTAAGGTTAGGCAAGGGAAAGTTAAGGAAAGTTAGGCAAGGGAAAGTTAAGCAAGGGAAAGTTAGGCAAGGTATGTTTAGGCAAGGTATGGTTAGGCAAGGACACAATCTATAGCACTGTATCATCCTTTGCAGATGACACTAGGACTTTCATGAGAGTAGGCAACATAGAGGATATGGCAAACCTCCAATCAGATGTAAATCAGGTCTTTCTATGGGCTACAGAAAATAATATGGGGGTGGGTGGTGGGGATATGTATGCGTACCTAATAGTGATTGTAGGGAAGTGATATCTAGCTGTTGTTGTTGTTAAAGATTTAGCTACTCAGGACGAAGTGTCCATGTAGCACGGGCTATGGTGAGCCCGTAAGATATCTAGCTTTTTATACTCCACTTTATACTATATTTTATACTTATTGCTCTTTATACTCCTTATAAGGGTGCATGGGGGGGTATACACCTAAATGAATTTAAGTTGTGCTTGCGGGGGTTGAGCCTCGGCTCTTTGGTCCTGCCACTCAACCGTCAATCTACTGGTGTACAGATTCCCGAGAGCTATCATATCTACATTTGAAACTGTGTATGGAGTCAGCCTCCACCACTTCACTTCCTAGTGCATTCCATTTACAAACTACTCTGACACTGAAAAAGTTCTTTCTAATGTCTCTGGCTCATTTGGGTACTCCGCTTCCACCTGCGTCCCCTTAAACGTGTACCTGCTTGATACCTGGTTGATGGGGTTCTGGGAGTTCTACTTCCCAAGCCCGGCCCGAGGCCAGGCTTGACTTGTGAGAGTTTGGTCCACCAGGCTGTTGCTTGGAGCGGCCCGCAGCCCCACATACCCACCACAGCCCGGCTGATCAGGAACTTCTCTTAGAAAACAGTCCAGT